ATCACAAAAGCTGAGGATGGCCCTATAAGGGTCGAAACATGTAGTGGAACATAAATTAACAAATTATAGTTGCGTTGATAGTGGAATTTGTATTATTAATCTCAGAATATATTACTTTTCGTATTCACAGATATGAGAACCTTAAATGGACTGCCGTTACTAATTTTCTTGTATTTCCACAGCACAATATGTCTGCATAGCGTAGAGATCATCAACGATGTGCCTTGGTACACTTTAGCATTCTCTTGCAGCTGATGGCCATCGCGTGTCTCGTATTGTTCTCTGCTGGAGGACAACTGTTCTCTGACATCAAAAGAACCGCCTTCACATACGGAACTTTCGGAGCCTATATCATCATCCCCGTGTTCTTGATTACGGGGTTCATCATAGGAGAAGTGACGCCAGTTCTACTGGTCAGTATAGATGTCACTTCGATAAATGACGTTTATTGTTGTTATGGAGCTTTCTGCTAATTAATTTAAGTTGTATTCTGATCATAGTACAGCATGTTTTGAATTTGATGACAATTTTGATTAACCACCTGAATTCTGAAATTTATATACAAGTAAATATAGCGTAGTCGGTACAGCGACTGGTTACGGGCTGGACGACTGAAGGGGCCGGAGTTTGAGTCCCGGTAGGGTCAAGAATTTTCTCCACGTCGTCCATATCGGTTCTGGCATTCACAAAACCTCCTATTCAATTGATACTGGGGGCTCGTTCCCGGGAATAAAGTGGCCAGGGCGTGAACCTGAACTTCATCTCCAGCTAGTGCCGAGGTCAAGAAAATATGGATCTATACATCCACTCTCCCATACGCCGTCATGGCGTAGTGCTTAAATTAGTTTAGAACAGGGACAACTTTACCTTTACATTTAATATTTAAAACTGTACTTCTTACCTCACAGGAAACACACGGCTTCTCCATACCGTGAAACCAGACGGTCTATGTCATTTACTGCATCATATAAAACACGTAAACATAGTGCATGTGCAAAATGAGGAGTTTTCTTTCTTCTTAATTTAATACGAGTTGGTACGTACACGTACAGTATCCATTTAAAGGGTTCATGTTATTGTTATTCTTATTATTAGAATATTTTTATTATCATATTATCAATATGTTTATGACGTTCCTGCAGGTGGGGTACAATTTATTCGGTGCAGTCCTGTTTGCTTTCGTGGGGTCACTTGGGGTGGATTCATGGTGGAGTGTACACATTGACTTGGATCACATCTCCACGAAGAACGTTTCTGTGATCGAACGCTTGAACGACATGAAGTTGATGTCCGCCATCTTGTCTCTCACCAACACTGTCTTCTATGCAGCAGACACTGTCATCGAGGGCGTCATCCTTCATGACTTATATATGAGAAATTAAGATATCAGCTGTGAATGTGTTGGTTTATATTTACGACTGACAGAACTGATGTAGAGTTCATGTCCGTTTGAAAGTCGGACATAAATATAGGCCGTATATTTTTAGATCGCAATGACACTGTCTATAACAACCTTATATAAGAGACACTAAAAATGTAATTAATACACTGAAAGTTCTTGTTAAATACATTAAAATGTCATTTTAAAGTATTTAGGAAGAATTCTTATTGTTAAATTTATTTTTAGATTATTTTATATAATGTCATTGTTGCATTACAGACGGTATACTTACGATCTAAAAATGATGCCACAACGCAACAGGAAGCTGAAATATAATAGACCATATATATTGAACGTTTTTATCTACAGTCACTTCGTCTAATCACATTACTGTATTGAATTATGACGGAGAGAAAGTTAAGGTTAATAATTACATGAACATTTACTGTTTCATAAATTATGTTAATGTATTTGCCCATGGGCGCCATCGAATACAGGGTTAAACCGGATATCTGCACTTCGCCTGAAATTTGAAAACTATATCATATTTGAAGAAGCAAAGGAAATGTACGAACTATTAAAAATAAAATTAAAATATTTTTTTTAAAAATCTTCTATTCTGAATGCCCTTTGACATGTACTAAGAATAGACTTAAGCTTCGTGAACGTAAGTTTCTAAGCTAATTCTCCAGCTGCCTCCCCCTCTTAGCAAAAATCTTAATGACACTTATTCATATGTACTATGGCGAATGAGGAAATCTCTTGCATTTGGATGAGATTTATTATATTTAAAGCGGAAAAAAAATTACAGGTTTAAAGTCGAGATATTTAAGTGAATAACATAATAAGATAATAAAAGTATTATTCCTGAGAAGAAATTACGTGGTAGGTATTATTTTTTTTAATTTTATCCTAACGTTTCATCATAAATGTCAGATGTTTTAGAACACAAAAGAAAATAGTGATTTGCATATTCAGACAATAAATTTATGGACGTTACATAAACTTAATAGTAGATATGAACCATTCATAATTTTTGACCAAGTTGTGGTATGCAGGAAATATGGCTTTCCGAATCGAGACCCTTATAATCTGTGGATTACTGATTCATATATTTGTTACAGTGCTGGCCAGGCAAGATATTATTATGAATAATTCTCTCAATTATAAAGCAGTATTCTAAAAATGCTCTGTAATTAATATATATTTTTTAAATTTTAAAATTGCATCCTGATTCTATGTATGTATGTTAAGTATTTTATCACACGAAATAATATGTCAAAGGTTTATAAGTTTAGAAACAAAGAGCATGTGTTAACGTTATACAATCTCAGTAGGTGGCAACACAGATGATTCGTCCAAAATAAAATGTTCTTTACTTTATCGTCAAGCCGTTGTGAGTTGGGAATACGGATTTCGGATTCGATTTCATTATAAAACGTGAAAGAATTGTTAATATTTTCAGTAGAATACCTGACTAGGGAAAATCTATTTTGATTATTTCTTACCATATACTAACGTCTATCACTGGAGGTTCTGCTAACATCTCTTTATGTAACCGGAAGCAATGAAAGCTCGATCTGTGAACAGTTATGTAGTGCTTCCTGTTAAGCATCTTAATATCTGCTACATAAAAATTGGACATTCCCGAAAGACAGAGAGCGAGAGAGAGCTATAAAGTATATCAGAAGAGTTGCTGAAAGTGAAAAGTCGTGGTAGAGTTCAGAGACAATTTAGTGGCCCGGGAAGAAAGATCGTCGGTTTATTCAGCATGTTAAGGAAGGTAAGGTAGACTATGGTTCCATGCATTCTTATGCTGGTACTATTTGGACCACCGATGGCCAACTGGCGGCCTGCGGGCCGCATCCGGCCCGCGACTTGATTTACTCCGGCCCCCCGCGAAGTCTCAGGTTTATTTTCAAAAATCTTAACTTCACAGCTGTATTGGCATAGAATTCAGTTTTTAACAGAACGTTTCATTAGCTTACAGCATTTTGCAATTGACTGTATACGTTCTTACCGAGTTGGACAGTTCAAACTGTTTTCTAATAACTGTGTTCATGTCATGGAAATTCCAAGTCCACCAACCCTACTTCTGTAGGGAGATGACACTGAAGGGAAGACCATAGTGGTGAAGGATTTATGACACCTTGAAAATAGTAACCATTCGCAGCTTGCTTGCGGGGATGGGATGTTTACCGTCTCTCTCGGCATCCTGGCCTCTGTTAAGTGCCAGCTTTAACAGAAATGTCTCCCAGTTAGTGCGATTTTAGAAAGTGAAGTGGGATTACGAAGTGAGAGTGTAGAACTGTTTTTCAATTAAAATTGTGTTTGAAGTTATTGTGAGTGATACAGCATGTCAAATAGTAAATTGAGAAAAGTTGATAGTGAAAATAGGGCGTTCAAATCTGAGTGGGAACATGACTATTTTTTTATATTAAATAAAGACCANTTAAGTGATGGTGAATTAATTAAGAACTGTGCGATAAAGATGGCAGAAGCTTTCAATGAAAATAAGGTAGGAAACAAATTTCAAACAGTGCCCCTTTCAAAACAGACTGTTACTAGGAGGCTGGAAGATATTAGCAACCAGATATCTAATAATGTGAAAGACATTATCGCTAATTGTTCCTATTTCTCAATTGCTCTCGACGAAAGCATAGATGTTTCGGATACCAATCAGTTACCGATATTTGTTCGTTCAATTAAACCTATGTATTTAAATTTTACGTTGCACCAATAATATTAAGCCGATATTGAAAATTTCACCAATCGATTTTATTGCCTTCTATCACTTCTACCCCCAGAGCATTTTTTCTTAAAGAAACACTGGATAGATCATGCCTTATGCTTAGTTTTATATATGCCGGGGAAAAATGCAATCATAATTTAACAGCGTTAAAAATATCGACACCTCTAGTTGTGCTGTGTAAAGAGCACCCTTTTAACAACTCTTCGAAAATTGTAAAATCTTCCTTAAATGCTCTTGTTTTTACATGGGTTGTGACTGATTCAGTTTTGGGGGCAATACTCCCCGACCACTCTTCTGAAAGAAACAGTTTATCTGGCCCCTGATAGTGTTCTATAAACTAAATTTGGCCCTAGAGATGTATTAGGTTGGCCAACGCTGATTTGGACGATAGAGTTCTGCTTCACATATAGCCCCCCCAAACAAATTGGGAAGGAGTTGGGTAGGAGGTCGGATGGGCCCCTGAATCGGCATGATCGCTATGAGGAATAACATGCCTGCCAGCGCAGGGAATAAAGAAATATATATTTATTCTGTTATCCAGTGAATTTTATGATTAATCTCGTCTTTGTGGCAGGCTGTATTATGAACGTAAAGAAGACGAGAAGTATGCTGAATTTAGAGTTCTCACAGCAGTGACCATGAAGAGTAGGACCTTCTGTAACAATTTGTAGCTTGACAGAAGACTAGTGCTCTCCTTTTCGTCTACTTATTGTTGATTTCTTGGGTGACTTTCTCTTCCACCCGTTGTTTCATAAGTGCAATATTTCCCGTTGTAACACGATGCTTCTAACAATTCGTTGTAACCGTGGAGACTCATTGTTAGAATTATGATATTGCGTTGCTTCCTTTGCCTATGAATGGATGCATTCCCATTGTAGCGTTGTAGCGGGAACGTGGATCGTTGCCTAGGATGTGACGTTTTGGATATGCACGTTACAATATGTTTCTCAGCTTTTTCATAGACATATGGGTATTGTAGTATATTTCACAATTCACAGAGACAAACTATAATAAAATAGCTATATTAACGAGTTGTTAAATTTATATAATGTTTCATGCAAGTAGTTTTGATACATAGGTGCTCCTGCTGTTACAAATTGGAAGTACAAACTTCCATGGTTATTGACCCTTATTTAATGAACCGTGGTTGGAAGCATGACTATAATTGGCGTTTGAACGGCAGTGAAATAACAGTGTGATAGGTGAAAGGAGTTGTAATTTTGTAAATACTGTATAGAATAGAGTGGTAGAAGGCTCACTAAATATCAAGAACGCTACATGTTTAAAATTTTATCTAGGGTGTTTATACAAGTATTCGACTGAAGTATATTTTTGACATAACCTTACATTTAACCATAATTGAAGCAAAAATGGCTGGTTTTGCCGTAAAATTGATGACCAAATCAGGCCAGATTGTAGTTAAGGGTTTAACACCTAGAGATACTGTATCCGAATTGAAACATAGACTTTCATCTCTTACAAATATAAAAGAAAGTTCCCTTCATGTTCTGTGTGGTTATCCTCCCCAACCACTAGATTTATCAGAGAGTGAAGCTACTTTAGAGTCTCGAAGAATCTGTTCTGGCGATACACTTATTGTGGAAGAAAAGCAGCAAAATATTGTAAATTCTGAACAGAAAATTTCAAGAGTAGAAGAACCAAGACCTCACATAGTAGACAGTAAACTGGGTTGCCCAGGAATACTCTTGAGGATGATTGTACCGGCTGACAATTCTTGCCTTTTTACAAGTATTGGTTTTGTTCTAAGTGGTGAGTATGGTGTTACTGCTTGACGCACTGCTGAAGTCTAATAGATGCAAAGTACATAATATAATACTATTCAGTTTCATCCTGTTGGTTAATATGACATACTTTTACAACACAGCGTATATTTTTAACTATACTACAAGCTGGAATGTGGCAAGTTCGATTCACAGTGAGGTCATTGGATTTTTCAGTTGACCTAATCCTTCCAGCTACACTATCGTCCAGGGTTCAACTCAGCCCCTAACAGAAGTAGGAAGTACTTTGCTGTGTTGTGACAGATACACTGCCAGTCCACAGAGTTCTGTATGTTCTGTTGTCACTTTGTTAGATGACAGCATATGTATTTGCCCCCTCATAGTGCACAACTGGAAGTGAAACTAAGTTCTTGGTAGCCCCCATTTGTGCATATCCTTTGACAGATGCCATGGACAGCAAATTGTTTCACGATTCCTCATAATCTGATGTGGCATTTAGGCTTGACCTGCTTGCCCTTGGTAGCCCCCATTTGTGCATATCCTTTGACAGATGCCATGGACAGCAAATTGTTTCACGATTCCTCATAATCTGATGTGGCATTTAGGCTTGACCTGCTTGCCCTTGGTAGCCCCCATTTGTGCATATCCTTTGACAGATGCCATGGACAGCAAATTGTTTCACGATTCCTCATAATCTGATGTGGCATTTAGGCTTGACCTGCTTGCCCTTGGTAGCCCCCATTTGTGCATATCCTTTGACAGATGCCATGGACAGCAAATTGTTTCACGATTCCTCATAATCTGATGTGGCATTTTGGCTTGACCTACTTGTCGTGGGTGGCTAGATACCAGTGTGTCACAGGAACCTACTGCCCCCATTTTCATTAGGCAGCAAGTTCCTCTGAAACATTGGTGCTTAAGTAAGTAAGTAAAGCTATCCCTGTAACAGGCCGTGAAGGCCCGTAGGCTTGTGAGATGTTGAGGCTCCCACATTTTCTAGAAAATCGCTTCATAGATGGAGGTGAGGTTTTCAGCCTTACACGCCGGCCGCTCTATACCCCTAGGAGTATTCCTGGTACTCATTTCTGTTAGAGGCTGAGTCAATCCCAGGGCCATAGTGTGGCTGGAAGGATTACATCAATTGAAGAAATCCACCTCATTGGGATTCAATTCCATGACCTTCCAGCTTGTAGCATAGTGCCTCAACTCAAGGCTACTGCGTACCCCCAACATTGGTACTTATGGAATATGACATGTTTTTATGTATATAAGTCCAGCACGTCACACTGCTCCCTCCTTAAGGCTGTTTGTCCCGAATAGCCTAACGGTGCAACCCCATTCCTTTTCTTTGGAGGCTGTTCTTGCAGCATCTTCAGCAGAAGTTCCATCATCTGCTGTGATTCCATGTTCTTTTCATGTGTGTAAGTTCGTAAACCTCTTCTGACACCAAATTGTCACGTGTTGGATGTATAACGCGACAAATAATTTCACGCCTAATTGGGTACAGGAAATTTTACTGCACATTCGCTCTTACAATCACACAGTTTACAATCTGACAATTACTGCCATCGGCAGTGTCACAAATACTAGACTGCAAATGCTAGACTACAACTGAAAGGTTGACTGCCTGGCTAACTCGTAACTATCTCGTAAACTTGAGAACTAACTGTGAATAGTCTTCGCTGCTCCTTATTTAGCCTCATTCCGGACAACACAGAAAACAGCCACATAATAGGCACCACTGTTGTCTGGCGCCATGTTTACTGGTGTCACTGGCAACGCTGTTGGGAGTTGTTTACGGCTGCATAGCAACCGTGGCATCCCTTGGCCACGTAACTGCTGGCGGGGTAGGGGAAGGAGTGTTGACTTGCCTGCTACCCTAGTAACGACAGCGCTCTGATGGTGTTACATCACCGCTGGCAGGGGGAGGGGTGTCCTGCATAGCACAACACAGCACAGTATTCATGTTCATCACCACAAAAACTGAAATCTCAGAAAGAAATGGTATTATATTAAAAAAGGTTGGAGCACGAGCAGGACTGTCCAACAAACAGCGTGTCACTTTGGCTTTTTAATTGAACTGATAATATATATACCTGTTAGTGGCTGTCAGGTTTTTTGAATATGGTTTGGATCCTGAAGTTGAATCCCATTATGATATTTGTAGTCTTCACAGTGGTGAAGATTCAGTGTAAAACTGTATAGTCTGCTAAATTTTCTGTCTCTGCCCTCATGATAGCAGTGAATATCTTGTCCAGATAAAGAACTGTCAGATGTTCAGTGTTCTCTACCCCTTTGTCTCTGATATGATCAACGCTTGATCATACTTGGTTTTTATAATGCAAAAGTTATTTGTGTCCACCACTGTTGTAGTCTGGTTTATAGCTGATCATTACAAGTTTAGTAGTGGAAAAACTACCTATGCCCATGTTTATTTCATTGTTTGGCAGTTGTTTCATGATTAAACAATTCACTAGAAATCACCATGATGATAAATAATAGGACATTATAGTGTTGTGACAGCTTTTAATAAAGAAAGGGCATTGTTAAGTGGGAATACATATTCATAAGATATGCATATTAAAAAGGCTGTTTCAGTATTTTAAGAGAACTCTTGATGGATAATGAACCCATTCATTGATTCCTTTTCTTTGTCAGTGGGAATACCTATATATTCATAACATTTCGGTAATTCTCTTTGATCAGCAGTAGTATGTATTCACAAGAACACCATATTTTATAGGGAATCTCATTATTTCATCACGACATGAAGGTAACTAACAGATGCTACGAAAATGTGGCACAGTTCAGATATTTGGGAACTACAGTAACAAATCAAAATTTTATTCATGAGGTAATTAAGAGGAGACTGAACTTGGGTAATGCTTGCTACCATTCACTTCAGAACCTTTTGTCTTCTTGTCTGCTCTGTCTAAAAACATAAAAATTAGAATATACAGAACTATAATTTTGCCTGTGGTTCTGTAATGTTGTGAAACTTGGTCTAAGACGTTAAGGGAGGAACACAGACTGAGGGTGTTTGAGAACAGGATGTTGAGGAGAATATTTGAACTGAAGAGAGATGAAGTGATGGGAGGTTGGAGAAAACTACGTAACGAGGAGCTTCATAACTTGTACTCTTCTCCAAGTATAATTAGAATGAGAAAGTCAAGGAGGATGAGGTGGGCAGGTCATGTAGCACGAATGGGGGAGATGAATGTGTATAGGATATTGGTGAGAAAGCCAGAAGGAAAAAGACTACTGGGAAGACCAAATCATAGGTGGTTCAACAATATTAAAATGGATCTGAGATAGGATGGTATGGATTGGATTGATCTAGCTCAGGATAGGGACCAGTGGAGGGTTCTTGTGATCACGGTAATGGACCTTCAGGTTCCATAAAATGCTGGGAAATTCTTGAGTAGCTGCAGAATTGGCTGCTCCTCAAGAAGGGCTCAGCTACATGAATGAATGAATGAATGAATGAAAGAACAAACGAGTTTCATTATTTCCGTATGTTTTATGTTAGATAAAATCTGCTTATGATATAGTTGCTTTGACAGTTTTATTGTAATAATCCTTTGTCATTTTTTTTTCCAGGGAAAGTAGACGTGACTAATGCTCCATATATGCGTCATATCATTGCTGAGTCAGTCTCCAATGACCCTGAAAATTACTCCGAAGCAATACTTGGAAAACCAAATCGTGAATACTGCCAGTGGATACTGAAGCCTGATTCATGGGGTGGTGCAATAGAGTTGGCTGTGCTGTCTAATTTCTATGGCTTAGAGATTGCGGTTGTGGACACACTGAATGCCATTATCAATAGATTTGGGGAAGATCAACATTTTGCACAGAGGGTATTCCTTATGTTTGATGGTATTCACTATGACCCTCTCTATCTTGAGCCATTTGAGGTACATAGCATAAAATTTTTGTCTTGGTAGTTAGGTTTAATTTTAGGCTGCGCCATAGTTCAAGTGGTTAGTCACTGGCTTTCCACCGTGGCGGCCCGTGTTCGATCCCGGGTCTGGTCAAGTGGGATTTGTGGTGGACAAAGTGGAGCTGGGGCAGGTTTTCCCCGAGTACTTCGGTTTCCCCTGCCAATCTTCATTCCGCCAATTGCTCCACAATCACCCTCTCCTATCATCTGGGGCTGGTACAATAGGCCAGAAGTGGCGGCAGTACAAGGGACTTAGTCCCACTCCACTAGCAATAAAAAAATAGGTTTAATTTTTTGATGTTACTAGGAAACTCCATTCTAAAAAAAACGGAATTACAGTAAACGCTTAACTCCAACAGTTACATGAATCTGCTAGTTGCGTGAGATATACAAGACAATGAATCATGTCCAGAAACATAATACTCGTACCAATGTACCATCCTCACAAATTTTTAGATCATATTTGCATGAGAAATGTTATATTTTAGCGTCCTGTTGCACTGATTTAAGTCCATGATTTATTTAATCCGTCTTGCAGTGCATACACTCATTTATTTCCTTCTCTCCCTCGCACTACATGTTTCGGCATAATAATGCCATCTTCAGGTGCTTACTTATCCACGTCAAACCAGTATAACACACGCAGTCGCAGGAGCACGACACAACAAAAGCACAACACACAAGATAGTGAAGGAGTGCTCCAACAAAGGAGAATGGGCATGACTGACGTAGTGAGGGGCGACGTAGCGATGTGGTATCCTGAACAATTTTAATATTTTTAACGTTTGACAATGTATATGATAGATACATATTTTAGTTATTTTAATGTGTGAACGTGGCATGCAATGAAGTGGTTTGACGTGGATAAGTAAGCACCTGAAGATGGCATTATTATGCCGAAACATGTAGTGCAAGGGAGAGAAGGAAATAAATGAGTGTATGCACTGCAAGACGGATTAAATAAATCATGGATTTGCATGAGAAAATTTAACAGAAATATAGTACAAGATATTTTTGCTTTAGTTGTTGCTTGAAAGTCCTCTTACATAACAAAATGGATTAATTTTGTGTACATATTCCATAACACAGTCACAAATTCTGATAGGCTTTATTGTAAGAGCACCTGCTTGCTGGAGGACAGTGAATAGCACTGCTAGTGGCAGCTTGAAGAATTACTGCATGGTGTATGAACATATGTGCATTTAAAATTTGAATAACTGCACAGAAATGGTAAATTTTATTTGAAATTTCTGTCTGTTAGATCAGAATTCTCAATACTTGGATACCAGTTAACCAGAGATTGCCATGCTAGGTTTAAGCACTTACTTACCTACTTACTTACGCATGGAGCTGGGCCCTTCTGGAGGAGCCGCCAATTCTGCAGCTACTCAAGAATTTCCCAGCATTTTATGGAACCTGAAGGTTCAATACCGTGTTCACAAGAGACTTCCACTGGTCCCTATCCTGAGCAGGTCAATCAAATCCATGCCATCCCATCCTATCTCTCTAAGATCCATTTTAATATTGTCCACCCACCTATGCCTTGGTTTCTCCAGTGGTCTCTTTCCTTCTGGCTTTCCCACCAATATCTTATATATATTCCTCTTCTCCCCCATTCGTGCTACATACCCTGCACACCTCATCCTCCTTGATTTGATCATTCTAATTATACTTGGAGAAGAATACAAGTTATGAAGCTCCTCATTATGTGGTTTTCTCCAACCTCCTGTCAATTCATCTCTCTTCGGTCCAAATATTATTCTCAACACCCTGTTCTCAAACACCACTAGGTTTAAGTATGTTCATTCATTCTTTGGTAGATTAGTTATGTCAGTCATTTTCACTGTAACATGATCTAAGAGAATTAGTCTTAGAATGATTAGGCAGAGTTTCTTTACTGTGAAATCATAATTATCAAATTCCTCAAGTGTCTGCTACTGTTTTATTAGTAATTATATAATTTTTAGCCAAAACTGTATTTGCATTGGTGAGCAAATAGGTGAGTATGGTCACAGATGAGTTATTTGAATCAGACAAACCATTATTTGTGAGGAGTTCTGTCTTCTGGGATATAACACTGTGTAGTTCCATGATAGTGAACCGATGTTTCAGAGGAACGTATCACCTCCATCTTCAGCGTTGAAGAGTAAACCAAGCAAACCAGCGTAAAACAGACAAAAAGAAGAACTGGTTTTTTGCTTGACTTACTCCTCAACCCTAAAAATGGAGGTAACATGTTCATCTGAAACAGTGGTTGACTTTTACCTGGACTACATAGTGTTATATCCTGTTCATAACTGCCACAGTGGGAACCTGAAATCCTGCATTATTTATAGTGTTGTATAAACACTTCAATACGTTGTATGTATTTTTGTTGTTGTGAGCAGTAATTTTAACATTACATGATAAGGCGCAGAGATTGCATGTTTTTCACATAACATAAAAATTGGTGCAAAGACATTGCACATACTTTCATGTACATGATTGACTTTGACTACATGACCTTGGGAGTGGAAAGGAATGTTCTTTAGTAGACTGTTGTTGGTTAGTAAATGCCAAACAACAATTAAAATCCATCCAGCTTTGTGGCAGACAGAAAAACAGAAAGCTACCTACCTACCTACCTACCTACCAACCACTGGGCGCTACAGCCCTGGGTGAGCCTTGGCCTCCTCTACAGCCAGTCTCCACAACCAATGCGTGCTGCCATAGGAATGGACCCACACATGATGACCCGAGGCTGGCTGTTAGGTTTCTGAACAAAATTCTTTTTACAGGATGAGGTTATTAGCCTCATGCCCAATCCCCAACCTGGAGGACCAGGGTATATCTCTTACTCTGGACTCTGTCCTTTGACCTTTCCAGCATGGGTGACCCTACTTGTAGTTAAACTACCGCCAGCATAGCTTTTCAGGTCACAGAGTCACGCATGCCCCACCATCACGACAAGGTGGAGACACCTCTGGGGGGAGGTAGGTATGTTGGGCACACTTGATGGCGGACACAAAAGATTTATTTATTTATTTCATCTCTATAGATCATTGTTACATGATATAGGACAAGTCAGTGTTAATAGAGTTAATAGAGTTAATAACACAATAGAGTTGTGTAATTCCTTTTGCTCTTCCTTCCTTTCTACTCCTCCATGGGGAGAACACAACTTAAGACCTTAGTCATAGTGTTTTCCTTGCTTTCAGGGAAACAGCATACAAACTATGTTCCTAACAGCCGATGAGGAAGTTCTTCACCAAGCTCAAGAATTGGCACATGAAGCTAAGGCAAGCAAGCAGTACACAGATGTGGATGGCTTTAGTCTTAAGTGTCTTCAGTGCCAAATATTTCTTAAAGGACAAATTCAAGCACAGGAACATGCAAAGAGTACGGGGCATATGAATTTTGGGGAGGTTGCATAGTAAAACCATGATCCTTTCAGATGGGTACATTGTTACATAAACTGTTATCGTGTTGATTCAGTCAAATCTCCACAAACAACCACATTTGAACTTTCATACTTATATTCAGAAAGTATTCCAAAGAAATTTCCATTCTTTCAGTCAAGTCTACATTTGTGGTTTCATATATTTGTAACTTTTAATCCAAAAAATTTTATCGAGCAGGTATATTTAATATGTAAGAAATGCCATTCATTCTCATCTTTCAGTATATGGAACACAGATATAAAGAAAAATCACAAAATGAATGAGACCAGTTGCAATTAACTAATAATTAGATATAATCATACAAAAATGGGAGACTGTCAACGCTGGAATAATTATACACTGTTTTCTGTGGTAAGAAGATGAAACAAGACATACACAGCCTTAGATATTTTTATTTATTTATGGCTTATTTAACAGCAGTGTCTAGATTATGTACCGACTTGCTTGGGAGGAACTGAGGAAAACCACTAAATATATTTTCATGTTCTGTTTGTAACAAAAATAATTTTCGTGTAAAGCATGGGAGTGTACAGAAACATGATTACCAATGCAGATGTGACTAGCTGTTCTTATTTACGTTTTCCTATTCAGTATCATTTCCGTGACTGGGCATTGCTATTCACTATTCACTATTCACTTTATTATATTTCATAAGATCTTTACAAGGTTGTGAGAACAACCATCGGATATAGGAACAGTCAGATAAAAAATCATTGCTTTACAAACAAGCAGATTGTCAAAATACAAACAGTAGAAAATACGAATATACCGTATTTACACATGTATAGGCCGCGTGCGTGTATAGGCCGCAGCACAATTTTCAGACAGAAATTATAGAAAAAATAATTTTCTTGGAATATTATTTCAGGAGTAGAAATTATTCCGAAATTTGGCAACGTTAATTTTTTTTTAAATGAAGTGTGATTTTGAATATAAGCTGCACCCCAGTTTTCCTCTTGAATTTTTGGCAAAAAATGTGCGGCCTATACATGCATAAATACGGTAATACATGTAGAACACATTTGTCAATAAAAACAATAAAATGAATATAAACCTATACTAGTCATTAATAAAAATCTAACAAGAAACTCCAACAATCATACCTTAATATGAAATCATTTGAAATAAGCTAATTTATCAAAATGTAAGAACACAAATAAAAAACAAGTCTAAGTTGTGTACACACCATTTTAGTATAGTTAAAATTAAAAAACGAAATATTTATTGAATATTTACAGATGAACATGAAAATATACGTGTCATACTTAATATATAAGTGTCACAAAATTAACAACCTAACAAATAAATTCAAATGGGATCATATTAAATGCTTATATTGCTTAACCACAGAGCAGTTTAATGCATAATTATTAAGCAACATGCTAAACGAAGTTTGGGATATTAACATTTTCTTCATGTTCAGTATGTGCAATGATAAATATATTTATTTCTGTCAGAATTTTAAAGAATGTATAGTTTCATTGCATCATATGAATCAAGTTGGGAAACTCTGATTTAAGCACTATATTTTTCTGTTTGCAGAAGAAACTTACAGCTTCATACCATATTGTTATTAATGTAATTGTTTAAGATTCATTTCTTCTTGCAACATTGGCATTCAGATGAACAGTTGGATGGTTAAACTCAGTGCTATTGGGTACCCAGCTGTTGGTGAAATTAAGTAAGCCAAGTTGAGAGTGCATTAATAAGGATTTGTCTTCTTCAGGGGTTAGAGTTCCTTTGTACATATACTTCAGGGATGCCCCAGTTTTACAACAGGTATTGCCAGTTTTTAATATACTGTAATTGCAACCTCACATTTTTGCTCAAAGAGGCAAGTATGATACTGCAATGAGGAGTTTTTAACACTCTTTGACCTTTTGTAATTGAGTGGAATTTGTCAGAAGATGCAGTAAACTGTGAGGGCTGTTCAAATGAAACTTGTTCACATCTTCAGCTTGGCAGACATGTCAGGCCTGCGGTTACAGTAGATCAGTAGCAGCCCACAGAGTTTTTTGCAAAGGAATCCATCAGCTGGTGTGTCAGTACAATGCATGCCTCTACACCCATGAGGCTTCATTTTAATGACCTCATGACCTGTAACAGACTCAAAAGGGGTTTCATTTGAATAATCTTCATGGTCGATGAATGGGATAATATTTCTTTTACCCTTTTGAATGGAATTTATGAGAAGCCACAACAAACTAGTTGATGAATTAAACACTTCCTTTCACATTTTATAATTAAATGGATTTTATGAGAAGACAACAAAATGTATGCTGGACTTAATGTAATTTCCTGTGATCTTTTGTATTAAGTTGTATTTATGAGAATGCAGGGAACTAGTCAATGAATTTAATAGTACTTCCTTTTCACCTTTTGTAATTGAATGGAATTTTTGAGAAGATACAACAAATTAATTAATGATTTAGTGGAATTTCTTTTGACCTTTTGTAATTGAATGGAATTTATGAGAGGCTACAGCAAACTAGTTGTTGAATTGAATGATATTTTCTTTGACCTTTTGTAATTGAATGGAATTTATGAGAGGCTGCAACAGACTAGCTGAATTGGAGTATATTTCCTCTGCTTTTTTGTAATTTAATAGAATTTATGAGGTTGTGCAACAAAACTAGTTGTTCAGCTGAATCATATTTACATTTATTAACCATATTATATTTTAGAATGAATCCTCTCAGATTGCAGATTCTAGTTAGAATAACCTTGACACACGCCAACAGAGGTATAACATTTGCCTGCTTTCCACCAGCAGACTGAAGTCCATCTACCATATGAACCAGGGTACATTATACTGTGTGTAGAAAACCTTACAGAAACAAAAACTCCCATCTGAACTAAACTAAACTCCATGGCTTTTAAGCCACAAGCGAACTATACCGACTGAGTGACCGCCACTTGTCGGCGAAGATAGTGCCAACTTTAACGGATAGAGGGTGTCGCATGGTCAGTGAAATGGATTCCCACGGCTGTTGGTCTCGGTTTTCTAGACCGAAGCCGTCACTTTTCCATTCAAGTAGCTCCTCAGTTATCCCCTTGAGGCTGAGTGGACCCCATTCCAGACCCACTACGTCTCAGAAAATCTGGTAGCGCTGGGAATCGAACCCAGGACCTCTGGATCTGTAGCCAGGAACTCTGACCGCTAGACCACAGAGGCAGCATTCCTGTCTGAATATGTTTGAATTTTCCAGCAGCATAAGAACATCAGAAGAATGTTGAAAATTGAATCTAGTTACTTCATAATAATGGTGTAATGATCTGCATTACTGGATGATAATGGTGAACTCTGATTTCCATACTAGATGGAGCTTAGTTGATATTATGTTTTACAGTGAATGGTGTTAAATTGTATATTTTGTTTAATCGCCTTCAAAACAGGCTAGGAGGGCACTATTTATCCAGTTTTCACCAGCAGGCATGTTGATGAGTTGGGTAGTGTTTGGACATAACCATTTTATGTTATGTTTTATGGTAAATCCCGTTGAATTATGTGTCTGTTTTATATCTAGTGCTGAGGTCAAGAAAAGTGGAGCTGTACCTTCACTCCTTCATGGCGTAGTGCTTAACTAATTAAGCACAGGGATAACTCTTTAAATATCAGATTAGTTGATTAGTCTGGTACTATTTTCTCTTAACCATATTCTGCGTTGAATTCTGTTAAATTGCAAAGCTTGGTTAGCATTTATTGGCAGAAAGAGAAACCCCTTTCCTGTATCAGTAGTTTTATAGTCAGTCAAATGAGAGTATAGTGTCTCATTATTACATAATATTACTAAAAAAATTCACAAGAACAGAACTCTTTTTCACTCTCTATATCTAAGATGTTTCTCTAGGGATCACATAACATCAGAGAATAATTTGTGATTGAATTATCCACTTCTGAGGCAGTGATTTTGCTTACTAATATCTCAGCTAGTATTGCAAAAATCTTGAAGTTTTTATAGTGCTCTCATAATATACATTCTTACTTTTTTGTCCCATAAAATAATGAACTAAGACACAAGTATCTAATATGCTTCAAGAATGCCTCTGCTGATCTAAATAAATTGTTTCATAAAATGCACATCCTGTACACCTCATTTTTCCATCAAGATATTCGAATAATGTTTATACAGTCACATATAAGGGGTAGCATGATGAATAACTGTGGGTTCTAGATTTGATGATTGGATTTATTGGATGTCTCTGTTAACAATTACACTTGATTATAATTGCTCACACATTGATCTCCTTCTTGGTAATGAATCTTTCACTGTTGTCTGGATCTTTGCTGGTCTTTAGTATCTCGAGTTTTCTATCTCGATGTCTGAATCTCTGACTGAAATCACTTCATGTAGATCAAATATGACACCCAGTCAGACAGTTGATTCCTCTGCTATTCTCTGTTGCCATGAAACATGTTAATTCGTTACTGCGGGGATAAGTGCTTACCTAGCTGTTGTCCAGAAATAGACGTCTCTGCTGTGCTTCTCTGATTACATATTTCCAGCTTTCAGGCATCATGTTACAATACAATAATGGTAGTGTTGATTATGTGTGGAGAATGTTTGTGTAGACATCAAAGAAAGTCAGAGATTTATTTGTAACTGATTTGTCACCTTCAAAGTGGTGATTTTGCTTTGTGATTTACTGTGAGATTTGCAGAAATCTTGGAATATTTATAACTTTCAAGAATAGATTTGCTTATTTTATTAATCGGTTCATAAAATCCACTTCCCCCCTCCAGACCTCATCAAGATATTTTTATTAAAAAAATTGTAAGCATTCTTTGGTGCTGTTATGGCATGCAGTATGCTTGAACTTTTACACTAAAGCATGCAGTCTAACAGAGTATTTATCATAAAAACAATGAACAATGGTGCTTTATTTATATATGAAAAAAACAAACTCCGTGGCCTATAGTCCGGAAGCAAACTATACTGACCAAGCGACTGCTGTTTCTTGGCGAAGTTAGTACCAACTTTTGTGGATAGAGGGTGTCACATGGGGGGGGGCCCTTAATGCATATGCCGGCGTCTACTCCTCTCTGCCGGCCATCGCCTGTTTCCCGCCAATTGGGCACCTTTCCAAGTCGTTTCCCTTTTGTTACTTGGTCGTCATTCCCGCTTGTCTATTGGTGGCCCATCTTTTCGATTCTGGCGCTGGCTATGACCAGTCTCTCTGCCGTAGTGGCATTTGCTCTCAAAGTAACCTGGCTCTCCACAGCTCCAACATCCTGATTGTTGTACATATGTTCGTCGGTTGTGGAGGGGGGGCGATTGGTTCCGCTTGTATGTCCTGTTCTTGTTTTGATAGGGTTTGACGGCTGCAAGTACGGCTTGTAGTTCTAGTGCCTGTCTAGGGTCCTCATTTACGTCCTCTCCCCTCCCAGCAGCAGCTGAATCTTTATGTCGGTGTCTCATACCCCATATGCGAAGGCTTTCCCTGCTTAGCTTCCCATGTGGTCTGCAGGTAGATTGGGGTAGGCATGACGGGCAAGCAGTTCCATGGCTGTGGCAAAGTCTTGCAGGGATTCTCCAGGTTTCTGTGTCCTTGCTCTTAATTGGCAGTGGTAAGCAGCTGCAAAGTGTTGGTCCCTCATAAGTCGTATTTGTCAGAATGTCTGGTAACATGTCTTCTGCCCGGTCCTTCAGAGCAGTAATCAGGTATGTCGATTTTCTCCCGGTCCGACCATTGGATATGTTCCGCTACGATCTCTAATTGTCACCGGAACACACTCCATGTTGAATTCACGTTGAATGTCGGTGACTGAGCTGTGCCCGCGCCGACCATTGATGTGTTTCCCCCCCTCGGTCCTAGTCTGTCTCCTTTCGTCCAACCACACCTGGAACTCACCTTTGATTTCCTCACTTGCGGCACAGGTTTGATTATAGGTCGTCGTTAAGTCTTCCTGGAGTTTCCTTGTCTGCATGTCAAGGGACACTTCTGCTGTCTCTAATTCCATCTGCGTTTTTTCCATCGTCTCTGAGAGTTCCTGAAGCCTGATGTCTGTCCTGACCTGATTTGCATTCGTTTCTTTCATTATGGCTTCCATCCTCTCTTGATTGGTTCTGAACATTTCTTGCATGTGCTCTTTGTCAGGTTTCCTGTTAAACACATTTCCAGGATGCGGATCTGCATGTATAAATCCTCTGTGGAATATCTGTTCAGAAAATGCTTGGAACAGCTTTGTGTCAGTATCAGCAAATGAAAACCCCCTGTCTTTTACTGACTTATCATCACTGACTTTGGTACCATGAATAAACTTTGCTGTCAGAACTCTCTTGCTACTCAAATTCCATAGGTCTTTCGGCACATAAATATATTAGAACTTGGAGAGATCTTTTGCGCAGTGCTCTGAATTTCTGCCTTCATTAATGAAGTTAAGTTTCTGTTCCAGAGTGTCTCGTAGGTCCTGAAGAACCCATTGAAAATCAGCATCAATCCAACTTTTTGAGCAACAGTTTGCTGGTTGAAAAAGCACTAATAAAGCGATCTTTGAGATCTGTATACTGGACCTTCACTGCTACTTCTCTTCTGTCTTTGGTTTTAGCATTGTACACCTATGCTAAGCTGGCAGCAACAATGGGTTCCTCAGCAAATAGGGGCACACCAAAATCCTCCAGAAGTCACTCCTTCAATTTGCCCTTCTCTCATGTCAAACACTTATCCTATATGCATTCCTCTTCGCCCTCATTCATGCTACATGCCCTGTCCATCTCATCCTCCCTGACTTTATCATTCTAATTATACTTGGAGAAGAGTACAAGTTATGAAGCTCCTCATTATGCAGTTTTCTCCAACCTCCTGTCACTTCATCTCTCTTCGGTCCAAATATTCTCCTCAACACCCTGTTCTCAAACACCCTCAGTCTATGTTCCTCCCTTAATGTCAGAGACGAAGTTTCACACCCATACAGAACCACACGCAAAATTATAGTTTTGTATATTCTAATTTAAAATGTTCTTCAATTTAGTGGTCCCCAGAGAAACCTTAAATAAATAAGTATTTCGCTGTATATGCACTGTTACACATAATCTTGTATACAGTTGTTAATTACACATAAATTTTACCACAGCTGCTTACATGTTTCAACTTTGAAGGCGGTAGGCTAAGGTACTGTCATCTAAATGAAACTATTGTTATTGTTTATGTTGTAAATATTGGCCAATATATAATATTAGGTTTCTTACTGACATAGGTTTAAAATATATATGAGATTATTATAAAATTGTTACAAAATGTATCATTTGACACAAATTATATTAATAAATAAATAAATTGTGTTTGCCAGTTTGGACACTGTTATATCCATTTGTTCATACATGTAATTTTACCATCCTAGTAATACCATTTTAATTGTTTCACCAAAGAAGAAGGAATTCTTTCTTGAACACAGAATAGTTGCTGATTTCTTTGTTCAAGAATTTCTGAAGGAAATGTTGAACATTGCTGATACTAATTTTATTGGGATAGCTTCCATTTAAGCATGTTCCCCAGTATGAACTTAGTACTTGCTATTTTAAGCTACTCAACTATTCATTTTTAATCAAATTTCTTTCAGTGATTTGATTCAATTTATAGATTTCAACTTTTGAAGTTATAACTCAGGCACAGCGAGAATATTTCTGTTGGTTTTCCAGTATTAAAGTTGCAAATCCTCAGTTTGTAGATAACATATCTAGAATCATGCAACAGCTAGTTCATATTTATCACTGTCATCATGAATTGTGTAGGATTAATGCTGTAACCCCATTGGGCTTATCACAGTTAACTAGAATTTTTTTATCCTGAAGTTGAAGTAGGGGAAGTATGATACATAGTGTGTATAAAAGCAAGGCTAGAAATTGATAGGGTTAGTGTATTCCACTTCTGCTTACTGTCAAGCTCACTGCACTTCCATTTTGAATGTTGATCCAACAATTAAAAGGTAAGGAAAGTTTATTCGCTTTCTGTACTCTGCAAAAGTAAGTAAAGCATTACTGAAATTTTGGTACATGGAATCACAATGAATGTGCTTGCTGACATGTTTCAAGTAAGAAGGCTAAGTTTCAGAATTTTAAATTTATTGCTGTAGTTCTTATATGGGTTATTTTGAGACTGGTATTTAAATAACCCATAGCGTTTTTACTAAACTCAAGTGCAAATAAAGCTGTAGTACCCAAATGAGAGAAACCATTAGACTTTTAGGCTTAATACTGACAATACAAAATCTAAATTTACAACTTCTTTATTACAACCGTCACAACACAACTAATATCAAGATCAGTGCCTAGTTTTGGCTCTGATACATGTTTTGGCTGTTAATAGCCATCATCAGGCAAATACATGGCTAACACCACTGAACTGCAGTACTAGTAAAATTGGATACAATATTATTAATTATGTAAAATACTTGACATAAAAATACAATAAATTAGATTATGTAAAACAAAAGTTATAGTATAAAACAAGAATAAAATTCTTCGATTGATGTTTTACATCATTGAATCAGTCGTTGGTTTTCGTAATTTTGTTGCGTTCCCACGGACAAATTTCAATATTCTATATTTTGTGTATATATAAAAAATGTATTGGAGGCTCGTGATGTAGATGTAGTAATATTAATATTAATTATTTAGTCAGTGCCTCATCTTACAAAGTATTGTCCATTCTGTAGGGGATGTAAACAAAATGTAAAAAAGAAAAAAAAAATCTAAATTTGTTAAAGGAAATTAACATGTTTCACTGTATTAAATTTTACAAAAGCCCACATTTGATCCTAAGCCACTTTTAATTTACTGAAGTTTATATTAACACCCTGCAGTTTCCTGAAGTTCCACTTTTTGTCTTTCCCATCTGTAATTTGGTCCCCTACATAACTGCATATAATGAGGTATTTTTACAAACCTTTTGTATTTTAATTCCTTATAGCAGCTCACACAACAAACAAAGATAAAAGATGTAAGATTTGATNCCCTTCCCCCCTTCCTTCACTGCTCTCACATAGCTGTGTATATTTCCAACACCAGTCTGCTTTTACCAGTTCTCATGGTCTCTTTGCTTGCGGATTTCTTATATTTTTCCTTCTACCCTGATGATGGAGGCGATACGTTCCTCCGAAACGTCAGATAACACCACATTTACACGGTGCCAAATCCCAGAAGACTGCTTTCTTCAAAGATAAAAGATGTTGATATATATTTTTAACTGGTTTAATGTAAACATAACTTGTGCTACTTGTTTCAACCATCTAGTTCAGGTCATCATCAGACACCTATGAACGTAACTCAAGTGATTACAATCACACAACAGGATACAATCTATAAAGTTTATAAACATTTTGTAGGTAAGATTTGCGGTTCTCACTGCACTGACTATAAGGAATACTACCTTATACGATGTGACACCTTATAGTCTGGTAGAAGTTAACTGACATTTTAGAGGAATGTAGTGCCTTAACCTTGTTCAGGGCGCAAGAGGACAGCAGTACTTCATTTTAAACATTGATAAACTTCTACCAGATTGTCACATTCCAGAAAATATCACTCTTCATTTTGTACATAGATTTTGCTTCACTCATATTAAATGTATGATACATTCCTAATCCAATCTCAGTCATTAGCCTTTCTGTTGTAGCAATTCTACATCATAAACCTGAAAGAATGTAATAGAAATGTATAGAAACTATTCCCTATAAAGTTTTGTGGATTGCTATAGTTGTTCACCAAGTAACCTCATGCCATTATGCACATAAGCATCCTAACTACATTGGCTTGTTCATAAGACTGGCAGCTGTCAAAAAATAATATAATTTTACTTCTAGTAGTAGGCCTCTTTGAATACCTGTCATGAATATTACAAACCAGAATGCTTCCATCATTTCAGAGGTCATTCAAAACTTATTTTTCTTTTTAGTTCACATTAGAAGATTCTGTTTAGAATACTGTGAGAGCTCATCCTGTCAAATGTCTTTCCCTTTTATTTTGCAGTCAAAAGGGATATATGTCTGCACTCCTCCATATGAAGCATATTTCTGCTGATATTAGTCCCCTCACATAAGTTCTTATTGTTCATGATTCACTACCATAAGGTAATCTAGGTCTAGCAAGTGTCATACAAATTCATATTATTTTCCAAAAGATTATCTGTGCATATTAATTTTATATTTTTTTTTCTCAAGTGATAAAGTAGTTAACAGGGTGTTGAGGAGAATATTTTGACCGAAGAGGGATGAAGTGACAGGAGGTTGGAGAAAACTGCACAGTGAGGAGCTTCATAACTTGTACTCTTCTCCAAGTATAATTAGAATGATAAAGTCAAGGAAGATGAGGTGGGCAGGGCATGTAGCACGAATGGGGGAGACGAATGTGTATAGGATATTGGTGGGAAAGCCAGAAGGAAAAAGACCACTGGGAAGACAAAATCGTAGGTGGATGGACAATATTAAAATGGATCTTAGATAGGATGGTATGGATTGGATTGATCTAACTCAGGATAGGGACCAGTGGAGGGCTCTTGTGAACATGGTAATGAACCTTCAGGTTCCATAAAATGCTGGGAAATTCTTGAGTAGCTGCAGAATTGGTGGCTCCTCCAGAAGGGCTCAGCTCCATGAGTGAGTAAGTAAGTAAGTGATAAAGTAGTCAGTGTGTCTGAAAAAGTGAGTTTTGTTTTCTTCTCTCTTGGGCTATTAAACTTGAAAGACACGATTCCAAATGGAACAATGCTTATACAGTTCTCTTGCCAAGTTATTTTAATTTTGAGCAGATAATTTGATATGGATCTCACTGATCTGAAATAGAAGTGGCTGAACTAATGTGAGAAATTACATTAACATTCCTGTAATTGTTCAACAGATAATAGATTGTTAGAAGGGATATTATTATTTCATTACTGTAACTAGGTATAGACTTGTTTGAGCAAAACATTTAAGTATGCTGTTTCCACACTAAAATTTACGTGCATTATATAATTTGCGTGGCTGTAAATTTTATGACATCTCAGTTCCCAGCAGAGGCAAAAGATCTGTTTTTTCTGTTCATCACACATATACTAGTTCTAAAGTTCACTGAGCCTCCTGTCCAGTGGGTCCTGGAGTTTGTTTCCCCAGGGTAAAGCAGCTAGAAAATGTAGCTGACCACTAACATCCATCTAGTGCTGAAGTCAAAAAATGCATGGGTCAATACCATCATTCTGCCATGCATCTTCAACTCATGGCGCTTAAATAATTTCTGGGATAAACTAACCTTAATCCCATAAATTAGGGCTCCATAACCTTTCATTATATTATTTTCTGTCTTCTCAATAAATGAAACATTTCATTATAGTGTTTATTTATTATAACATCAGATTTTTTCCTCATTAATTTTTGTGCTAGTAGCACAAATATTTCTCCTTATATTGATTCATACAACATGAAATATATGTTTCATTTTATTCTATATGAGACAAACTCCGTCTTAAGTGCAACAATTTAATTGTAGTTCTTTCTTCTTTCCTTCCTCTACACTACATGTTTCGGCCCTAAATGGCCATCATCAGGTGTATATTCTTACGTAGCTGCTACACTGCCCGTAGAATTAAATTACAATTAAATTGTTGCACTTAAGACAGAGACTGTCTCATATATTGTGTGAGTGTAACAGGATGCTTAAATATATATTGTTTCATTTTATATTCTATTAAGTCTCAGAAAAATGTTTACACCACAAAAATTAAGTTTTTCTAAAACCTACCTGAGACACATTTTGGCTTCATTTGTTATTCTCAGACATTGTTACCCACATTTCCTAATACTTCTGTCAATGCTGAAACTAACATTGTCAAAGCCAAAATATGTTCTAAATAAAATTTCCCATAAGTAATTTTCTAAGAAAATCAACTTTATTGTAAGAAGTTTTTTAACATGATTACAAATGATCATGTCAATCATACAATGAAATATTGTACGAGTACCTAAATGATGGTCTATAAAAAAGTAAAAAAAAAAGTAAAATCCCTGTGCTTAATGACTTAAGCACTATGCCATGAAGGCGTGTGGGGGAATGGATGTATAGATCCACATTTGCTTGACCTCAGCACTAGCTTGAGGTGATTGGTCAGCTTCACGCTCCTGCCACTTTACCCCCGGGGAAAGAGCCCCCGGTACCCATTAGATGTACTTTAAAGAACTAATTCAGCACATTTTTGGCCTTAGTGCTTCTTGATACACCCTCACCCCTAATCTAATTTGAATTATCCTATGCTATTTTTACCAAAAGAATGCTTGTATTTTTATCAGTATTTTCTAAAGAGATGTCCAGTTCTGGTCTCCATATCCTAATTGTTATAACAGATTTGCTGAATCTCTGTTCTATTTCTGTTAGAGACTGTGTTAACATGACATGTTACATAAAATATGTGTTTTACTAGAGCTAAATAAACATACACAAAGGTTAACATAGAAAGGTGTACTTGTCTCCCTTTGATATTTTTAGTTGTCCTTTATGTCATCAATTTTATCTTCCATTGGTGAATGAACATTCAGAATGATATCACACCAGCAACCTCTTCTTTTTTTTATTGCTCGTGGGGTGGGACTAAGTCCCTTGTACTGTGGCCACTTCTGGCCTATTGTACCAGCTCCAGATGATAGGGGAGGGTGATGGTGGAGCAGTTGGTGGAATGAAGATTGGCAGGGGAAACCGAAGTACTCGGAGAAAACCTGCCCCAGTGCCACTTTGTCCACCACAAATCCCACTTGACCAGACCCAGGATAGAACCCAGGCCGCCACGGTGGGAAGCCAGTGATTAACCGCTTGAGCTATGGTGCGGCCACAGCAATCTCTTAGTAATGTATATGATATCCTATCACTAATGAACTCTACCCTCTTAACTGCTGATATGATTTTCTTATGTATGTAAAAACCTTCACCCAATTCATGAAACTCATTCTTCTTTCCATAGAAAAATGCATATTCACCTGCTGGTTTGGTGCCGCTTCCATCCCATCTGACCTCTTGTACTCCCAACAAATCTAACTTATATTTTGAGATTTCTTCCGCCACTGCCCCGAGCGAACCTGCCCTATACATACTCTAACATTCCAAGTACCAAATTTCATATCCATTTTCTTTTGCTTAGGTCTTTTTTCTAAGAAATCTGTCTAGGTCTGAGGTTTCTTGTTATCTTTAGTAATAAGCTTATTTTCTATGGTGAGGAGTTGTTAGCCCCACGCCCAACCCCAAGCTGCACTACCACCCATTGTTGGCTGACCATGACTGTTTATTCAATATTTTCGCAGCTACCCTCTGTACCTGGAGGGCATCTCCTCCATCCACAACCTGAGGACGCGCAATGCCATGGCAAAAAGAGACTCACCTAACATGGTTTAATTTTTCATACAAAGTCAATTTTCCAGGCTTCTGGCTTTATGTCCATTTGCCTCATAACCGTTCACATGCCCCACCTACCGGAAGGAAAGCCATGAATGAAATCCTGTGAAGTTTCATCTTGTTATTTTCCTAAAACCCTTTGGTAAATGCAAAAATAAACTTCTTCCCCAGAAATCCCAATTATCTTGTAATTCATCTTTGTCACTGTAAGTTTCTTCACAAAAACAGGATTATAAGATTATGGAAACAATCTTTATACTGGTAACTATTACAGCTCTTTTTTAACATAATCCCTAATTGTGACACGAGTGAGTATTGCCTCTGAAAGTTGATACCTGTATCTAGTAGTTAAATACTGTAAAAGTTAGAGCACTAAATCATTCAAGGTCCTTATTTGAAATAACAAATCTTGATAAAATTTAACCATTAACTGCGCTATTTAAAGTCAGCGTATTCTCACTCAATCAGGTAAATTATTTTACTGTCTGCTACATGCTTTGGCATGATTATGTAAAACACAGCAGAGGATGTTTATCCCTTCAAAACTGAATTTCTTCTAAATAATTTATCAATCTTAAATGCACTATGTGGGCAGAGGGCAAATTTTTAATATATTAAAGCAGGTGGAACACACAGGAACTACTGGGTTATAAAGTTTTAATTACAGTGCTTCCCCACGTATAAGGCATAATAAATGGATAAGATAAGAGAAAATGTAATAATCTCTTATTTGATTAGTGTGGTTACATTATCAGCATTTAATTCTTTGCAGTATTAAAACACCTGATAAATAGATTATCTGAGAGATGCAGGTTTCAAAAGTATGGTGCAAACATGTAAGATAATCAATTCAGATATGAGGGTTTGCATAATATATTTTATAAAACAAACAAATATGATGGTGTTAAATCTTTCATATATTTTTCTTAATAGTAATAGAAATTCTTATGTATGTCACAATCAATAATTAATATCACTATAAAGATATAAATTAATTTTCAACTATTTACTGAATAAGAAGCATTTGATAAACTAGCTGTCTCTAATGTGTATTTGTTTTCATGGACATGAACTTTTAAATAAATGTTGAGTTTATGACACTTTGAATTTAATGTTCTTTCAATGTTTTTAGGTACGAAAGAATGGTATGTGGCAGAATGTATATAATATAGATATTCTAAAAAGATGAAGTCTGTACTGACTCCACTTTCAGCAGGTTTCATAATGAATGTAACGAATTTAGCAACTTTACTATATTCTTCTGTCAGTATGTATCTTTCATGCTTATCTGGATACATCTGGTATTGCAGCTCCTTGGTTAAATTTAAATTTCATGAATATTTAAAATCTCCTGATTAAACAGGGAATTTCGGTTTATTTGAAGGTATTTCAAATTATCTGTTGCACAGCATTGTGTCCAAATTGGGTGTCTTCTGGTAATAAACTTTAAAAATATGTATCTCTTTGAAAAAAATATTCTGCAGAAAAATGTACAGCTGAATAATATAGAAGTATTTAATTAATTGTTAGCTGTATTTTTTTAATCTGCTGGGTATTTAGTGTGATGAATTAATTAATTCAAGCATTTTTGTGATGTGTACAACATGTACAAAAAAATTTTTAAATTTATTCAGTATTTAATAATGGAAATCCATTCACTCTTTGCAGATTTTTCCGTGTGCACAGATAGTTGGACAAGACCAACAATGAAAGTTCCGCATTATTATACATGATCATGTCCAAATGAATTCAGAGTACAGGAAACGTTTTAAAAAATTACATATATATTCAGGTCCATTTTAAGACAGTGGTGACCCTTGGTGACATATAATCTTGGATCCACCCCCTTTGCACTTTTTTTTTCACCTTATAATTAGATAGCAGGGCAGAGTCTATATTAACAAAAGCAAAAGAGATAGGAAATAATTAAAATATATAACATAAAAATCATCTCAGTTTAAAATTTTTTTCAAAATGAAATTAAGATTTTATAAATTCATTATGTGGTAGTGTAGTTAGTTGAGGAACTATGCTACAAGCCAGAAGGTCGTGGGTTCGATTCCTGGTGAGGTCACTGGATTTTTTAATTGGCCTAATCCTTCCAGCCACACTATGGCACCGGGGTCGACTCAGCCTCTACTAGAAATGAGTACCAGGAATCTTTTCTGGGGACAAAAGGGTGGCCAGACTGTAAGGCTGACAACCTCACTGCCATCTGTGAGCCAATTGTCTAGAAAATGTGGGAGCCCCAACCTCTCACAACCCTATGGGTCTCCACAGCCTGTTACAACAATATGTAATTGTGTAGTATGAGTATATTTAAAGAAAAAGACTCATGTTGTTGCCAGCACAATTCAGGGTTCAGACCTCTAGTGATCACAGTTAACGAGAAATTCCTGCAATGATTCTTACCTAAATAAGCTGAGAAAAACCAAAAAGACCAGTCAGTATTGTCTATATGTGTGCAGTTTATAGACACGTGATTATTTCTTTTATGCATTAGTTTGTCAGACTTACATCATTGATATGTGTCTTATGTTCTTTTCAGCATCAAGCGAAAGCAAATAGTTTACACATAAAATGGAGTGGAAAATAGTGAAATTTTCCACAACATTACTACAAATTCTAGTAGTAACCAACTTTACATCAGCATCTCCTTTATTGGAAGCAGCAGTCCCATCTAACATCAGAACCAGTGAAATAAACTATCGTCTACCTAATAATGTGATACCAAGTAATTACATAATTACACTGGATCCTCTCAAAGAGGCTGATGACCCTGAAACCTTCACTGGTGAGGTGAAAATCACAGTGAAAGTAACTGAAGACACTAACAGCATTACACTTCATTATAATGACTTGTCTATTGATAGCATAACAGTTACTCCAGTTATTGGTGGCACAGAAATTCCTGTGGATTATGAGTATGAAAGTGTCACTCATTTCTGTGTCATAAAAATTAATTCAGAAGATGAAAATATAATATTCAAAGCAAGCGAGGAGTACATAATTACAATAAATTATAAAGGACACCACAGAAATGACATGTATGGGTTCTACAGGAGTTCATATAAAGATGAAGATGGTAAAACAGTGTAAGTGTACTGATCAACCTGTTAAGATATAAAATAAGATAAAATGTCAGATGATAAGATTTTTATTTTGACTAGAGGCTCCACATACTCACAGTCTAGTCATAACACACAAAACTCCGTGACCTGTAGTCTGCAAGCGAACTATACCGACCGACCGACCGAGCGACCGCCGCTTGCCGGCGAAGTTAGTGCCTACTTTTGCTGATAGAGAATGTCCCGTGGTCAGTGCAATGAATCTCCACAGCCGTTTATCTCCGGTTTCTAGACCGGAGCCGCTATTTCCTTGAAATAGACCCTCAATTATCCTCACGAGGCTCAGTGGACCCCAGTCCAGACCCACTACTTCTCAGAAAATCTGGTATAGCCGGGAATCGAACATGGGACCTGTGGATCTGTATTATTTTTTTTATTGTTAGTGGGGTGGGTCTAAGTCCCATGTACTGTGGCCACTTCTGGCCTATTGTACCAGCCCCAGATGACAGGTGAGGGTGATTGTGAAGAAACTGGTGGGAAACCGAAGTACTCGGAGAAAACCTGCCCCAGGGCCACTTTGTCCACAACAAATCCCACTTTACCAGACCCGGAATCGAACCCGGGCCGCCGCTGTGGGAAGCCCGCGACTAACCGCTTGAGCTATGGCGCGGCCCGTGTGGATCTGTAGCCATGAACTGTGACCACTAGACCACAGAGGCGGTCGTCATAACACACTATCTTAAGAAAGTATAGGTTTTAACAAGTTCTTCTAAATATGCATTTTTCGTGAAAGTGATGACAGACTATCAGTATTTTTGACACAGTCACCCACCAGCAGAATTCGTACTCGAACCACCTTCTGTACTCCTTTATCAGCACACTGTGCTGTCCCCCCCCCCCCACTAGCAATAAAAAAATAATTATGGTTTCAAGGCTCAGAAGAAAACTTGAAAGTCGAATACACAATCACGTGATCTCCACGATCTCCACCATCTCCACGGTCGCCACCGGTCGCCACACTCTGCTGCGCTCTGCTGGGCCGCACGCGTAGTTTCTTCAGGTCTCAGGTGGCTCAGGTGCTCAGGTGTTTTCTTGGGAGCTAGTAAACACAACAGCACTCGCTGGAAAGGAAGCACACACAAAACAGGATCAAATGGCAGTTAAAAAACTGAAAGTATACCACGAACATGAGGGGCAAGCTGCCAAGAAAAACACCTTGATATATTTACAAAATGACGACACCCCAGGTGAGGTGAAATAATATGCAACAAAAATTGTAAAGGATTTTATCTCGTTTTACTTAAAAAAAGAAGACAACAGCGTGTGATTTTTAACACAAATTAAAACAGTGTAACAGTTTTTTTACACAGTTTTAGTAAAATATCTGTAACCTAAAACACCTGAAGATGGCCGGTTGAGGCCGAAACATGTAGTGTTGAACTATAGAATGTAAAAAGTGGTGCAATTTTGACGGAACGTAAACAATGGACACTAATTTGAACAATTGCAACGGGATGCTGAAATACAGAATCAGAAACGAATTGTATTTGTTTTATCGTTTACTAATATGATCTTTTGAAATAAACACTTAAAATGTTTTATATTGGGTAAATTTTGTGGGTCTGGAATGGATTAATTCAAGTTGCATTATTTTAAATGGGGAAATTTAACTTTAAAGTCGAACCGTCACCTAGATCACCTAGAACGGATTGTGTTTGAAGATTGAGGTTCAACTATACTGGAAAAAGAGCAGTGCCAGTAAGATATCAGCCTTGCATAAAATTCAGAATCCGGTTGCAAATTTAATTTGGTGCCAGAAATAACTTCTCTTACTTAAATAGAGTCCATATATTTGTACACATTTTGAAATATCATGTCTGATTTATTTACCTGAATTTAAAACCTATAATACTGAGGCTGATTAATGATTTTCCAAATGCTGTACTGATTTTAACAGTGAATCAAATTTAAATCCCACATATTTTAACACATCGCAGAACACCAGAGACAAATCCAAATTCTCCCTTTTTAAATTTCAAAATTGGATGGATGGATAGACATAGTCTGACATTTAACCAGAACATCATTAATGCCAGACAGAAAAAAAGAGGCCGTGAAAGGATTGATCATAATCCAAATCTTTAATTGACTCACCTCCATCTAGTGCCAAGGGTAAGAATGGTGGAGCTACACATCCAGTCCTCCATGCATCTTCGCAGCAAAATGCATGATTAATTAAGCACGGAGCAACCTTGCCTATTTTAAGTTACCAAATCTTTAATTGAATGTTAATGTGTAAACAAGTTTTATGTCCATTTCTTATTGAAACAGTATCTTGTCACATTTTTTTTTTGTTATAAATCACAATTGGCTTCCACCTCTGACCCATATATACAGTCATGGCTATGATATGATGGAAATATAATCTATAATAACATTAAGTCAATAAGTAGGTCAAATTTGGTTTTCATTCTTTGGTTTCTGTCAGTCACACAATATTTTACACTCAAAACTGATAATAAGATTAGATGTAAAGAAGGCGTGTTCTACCCTGAAGATGGGGCCAGCATGATCTCCAAAATGTTTATACTTATCTACAAGACTGCATGACATCATATCCCAGAAAACTGTAAGCCAAGGAAATAAGAGGCAAGGAACAATGCTGTTTACTTGATGGTTGTTGCTTGCTTTTATGATCTTTTGACCCTAAAGACAGAAGTAGTAAGTTAGTCTGACATATTAGCGAATTTATACCTGCCCTCATGGGGTCACATCACACTAGACAGTGCTCTTCAAGGAAACCCATAAATTTTAATAAAGCACTTAAAAATGTATAAAACACTATGTTTATAAAACAAAAACTGCTTCTGTTTTGTGCAGTGAACTTTTCGTTTCCAGGTCATTGCAAGATTAAGAAACGCAGCTGAGAACCGTGAATAATCTGAAAATAAATTAATTTCTTGAAGCACAAACATATAANAAACGAAGAATACACGGTGCCTAAACCCAGAAGACAACTTTCTTAAAATAATCAGTTGTTGCTGAATCTTATAAGACACATGACAGTCTAATTACATGAAACAAAAGAATGGAGGCTATGTAATTTGGTTGAATTTGTCTCGGTACCATTATGATGTCACCATTTGTGTAACGCGGAAACATAAAATAAGGCATAGCTTTAAAAGTAGAACCAAACTTAAGTGAAGATATTCAAATTTAGAAAATCTCTTTCAACCTACTGATTTTAATTTTTTTTTTTTAATGTGTACCTGTTGGTTTCAAGATTTTCACAGTAGTATGATGAATATGTTCTGATGGGTTGTAACACCAACATAATTGGGAGACAGCCCATTTTTTTTTTTTTTCAGATGAACATGTTACCTCCATCTTCAGGGTCGATCCTGAAGATGGAGATGTTCCTCTTTAATGTTAGGCTCTTTCTGGACTATGCAGTGTTATAAGCCAGAAACTTAACTCTTTGGATATCCGTTCGTTACTGGCCCACATATTGAAAATTTCAGTCCATTCTGAATCAGGAGAACAAGTCTTAAGTTCACAGGGCGAAACAAATGTATGAAGTTCATGGATTCAGAAACGAAGTGTTATCTAGCCATAAAATTTGTATTTGTTTGCTGTAACTCATTCAAATAACATTTGACCCTTCCTTTTCTAAGAGAAATCGGACTGTCATTCGCATAATAGTTTATGTACATTAGATGATCACAGATGGTTTCAGTTGATAATACTCTTTCCCATACAAATAATCTATGTTGTTTTGTTCATGCAGATGGCTAGCAACCACCCAATTTGAGCCGGGAAATGCTCGACGAGCTTTCCCTTGTTTCGATGAGCCAGCTCTCAAAGCCACATTTAAAATCAGCATTAAAAAGAAACCCGGTCTCCAAGCAATATCTAACATGCCAAGAGAAGATGAGTAAGTATTTCATGTTATTGGATTAATATAGATATTAGATAAGTTAGCTAAGGATAGACTGCTTCCCAACAACAGACTATCTACACAACTTATGAGTGAAGAGGTGACAATAATTTTATTTCATCACTAAAATATCTGGTGAAGAAGGGCACCATTAAATACATAACACCTTTAATCAAGCCATGATTACTACATCCACTATCATTTCCAGTTTGTCCTCTTGACTATCCTCTCACATTCAACAATAAATAAAGACTGAATCTTATACAACTCCATCAAACAACCCGCCTTCAAATTACTTACTTATTCCTATTTCCGTACTGCCCATATTCTTTCTCGTATGGAGGAAAGCAATTGAGATGCTGTGGCACACAATAAGAAATATGTAAGAGTGTTGCTTAAACAAATTTTAATCTGCACAAATAAGTGTATTATCACCAGGGCCTGGATTTTGATGACCTAAAATATGACCCAAAAATGTAATATGCAGGGCCCGGATTTTGATGACCTGAAAATATTAAAAAAATGACTGAAAAAATCCAGAAAAATGACCTAATGGAGAAAAGAAAGAACACTTCGCTTCCATGTTATTCACATTTCAGAAAACATATGAAGAAAAATTCCCTAAAATGGCCAAAAATGAGAAGAAATGCCCTAAAAGTCCAAAAATTTACCAAAAAATTACCCCCAAAATGAAAAAATGACCTTAAACCTAAAAATGTAAAAAATGACAAAAATTACCTATAAAATTTACATTTCTGTAACCAGCAGCTCATATCTGAGACTTATATGTTTAAGAGCATTGCATAGGATACAAGGAAAAAAGATGACATGTCATCAAAATCCGAGCCCTGATTATGACTAACATGATGTGCTATTTGGGAATATAAATAAATAACATTAAATTACTACGTGTCATTATGTTAAGTATGACATAAAATATTTTTATATATTGCATTTTTCTGCTTTAAATGGTGTAATGGGTTGCAATAAAATCATAAGTTGTATACACAGAATCACAAGTAACATATATTTTACAGTGACGATGAGACATACTATAACTTCGAAATAACGCCAGTCATGTCCACATACCTCATTGCCTTCATAGTGTCAGATTTTACTGTTCTGCGTAATGAACCAGAGAATTTTGGAGTCTGGGCAAGAAAAGGAGCCATTGAACAAGCAGAATATAGCCGTGATGTAGGGCCAAAACTTCTTCATGCTATTGAGGGTTTTCTGGATGTGAAATACCCATTGCCTAAGCTGGATGTAGTGGCTGTGCCTGATTTTTCTTCTGGAGCCATGGAAAACTGGGGTCTTACAACGTACAGGTGAGATCAAATCATAGTGCTCATGTGTGTGTGATAGAGAGAGAAGGGGGCAGCTCTTCTTAATTTTTGCAGTATGTGATAACTACAGATTATGAGTAAAAGGGATAAAGTAATTTTATGTGTTTAATATGATAACTGTCATAAGGTGCAGTACGAGTATATCAAAACCTGATATGGGATAATGTATACAACCATCAGCATATCTGAGTTTATTCTGAGATTAAAATTTTCCAGGTTAACTTATACACAAACTCAGAAAGATGCTATAAATTTTTATTTACTTCAAACCTTGAACGGCCAAAAGTCAGTTTTGTTGGTTATATAAATGATGCTGTCAGAAGTAAGCCTACATAATGTCAACAGCCAAAAGAGATCAGAATCTATAGTCTTTCTTTCATTTATTACAGTCTGATAGTCATTTCATATGAGATGTCATTCATGCTTTGTGTCTGTCAGCTGACTCACTGAAAGTATGAAGAAGTTTAATTTTCCAGTAACTCACCAATTGCAATAATTGTGAAGTTGATCTACAAAACATAATTTTCTATCTAGTGTCTGTTACAAAATGGGACCTGTGGTAGCATAGCTGGTTGAGGCACTATGCTACAAGCTGGCAGGTCCTGGGTTAAATTCCTGATAAGGTTATTGGCTCATCCATTTGGCCTAAACCTTCCTGGCGCACTATGGCCTTGTGGTCGAGTCAGTTTGTAACATAAAAGAACCAGGAATCTTCATGCGGGTAAAGGGTGGTGGCATCCTCACAGCCATGTGTGTCAGTTGTCTAGAAAATGGGGGAGCCTTGATGTCTCATAACCTTATGAGCCTCCATGGCCTGTTATAGGAATAGTTATACCTTTTATTTCCTACAGTGTGACAGAATTGTGTATACTCGTACTACTTTGTAGTTCTGTTGTAATCAAATTTGAATCGCTGCTATTACTGTCAGACTGTACACCTCTAGTAGCATACTTCACCTTATTTTAAATGGATAGTGAAATTTTTCAATTTACCTAATCCTTCCAGCCACACTATGGCCCTGGGGTCCACTCAGCCTCTAACAGAAATGAATACCAGGAATATTCCTGGGGGTAAAGGGTGGTCGGCACGTAAGGCTGACAACCTCACCGCCATCTGTGAGCCGATGGTCTAGAAAATGTGAGAGCCTCAACATCTCACAACCCTATCGGCCTCCACGGCCTGTTACAGGGATAGCTTTACCTTACCTTTACAAAATGAAATTACTGTACAGTAAGATATCTGTATACAAGGACTGCAGTATACACATAACAATGTAACCTGCAATAAGAAATTATTAGAAATATGTAGAATTACTGGGCTGAGAAGCTAATAAGTATTTTAGTCTACAATTCTTCATTTTTTTTTCAGAAAGAAATACTATCCATATTGAAATTTTATTCTCAAATTTCAGGGAAAGGATCGTCTTGTATGATGAGGATCATGCTACTGCAGCAACCAAACAACAGATTGCAACAGTGGTGGCCCATGAGTTTGCACACCAGTGGTTTGGTGATCTAGTTAGCCCTGAATGGTGGAATTACTTATGGCTCAATGAAGGATTCGCTACCTATTTTGAGTCCTTTGCTACAGATCTGGTGAGATTCACAATAATGTGGAATATAGAGACCCTCCAGTGTTCCTAATTACATTCTGTTTCTAAAACGGTAATGGTACTCAGATTTATGTTACATTATTTCAAGGAAATAGCGGCTCCGGTCTAGAAAACCAAAATTAACGGCCACAGGGATTTGTTGCGCTGACCACACGACACCCTCTATCTGCAAAAGTTGGCACTAACTTCGCCAAGCGGTGGTCAATCGGTCAGTATAGTTCACTTGCGGACTAAAATCACGGAGTTTTTAGATGTAAAAGTTGTCCCTGTGCTTAACTAATTAAGCACTATGCCATGAAGGCATATGGGGGTGGATGTATAGATCCACATTTTCTTGACCTTGCACTAGCTGGAGGTGAGTGGTCAACTTCACTCTCCTCCCGCTTTGCCCCCGGTTATAGAGTCCCCATTACCCATTGGATAAGAGTGTGAGTGGGCCCCAGAACCAGTCTGGACAACATGGAGAAGAGAAAATTCTTGACCCTATCGGGACTCGAAGTCTGACCCATCAGTCATCCAGCCATAGCCAGTTGCTATACCGACTACACTATCCCTGCGCTTTACACTTATGTTATACTGAGAATATTGCTAAACTAAAGCTCATTACAACGGAGGACAATAAGGAGAGATAGGCTATTTAGATCAGTCAGCTGTGAATAACTACACCTTGAACCAGTAACTTATCACAATGCTATAGCTCAAGCGGTTAGTCGCTGGCTTCCCACCGCAGTGGCCTGGGTCTGGTCAAGTGGGATTTGTGGTGGATAAAGCGGCGCTGGGGCAGGTTTCCTCTGATTACTTCGGTTTCCCCTGCCAAACTTCATTCCACCAATTGCTCCACAATCACCCTCACCTATCATCTGGGGCTGGTACAGTAGGCCAGAAGTGGCCACAGTACAAGGGACTTAGTCCCACCCCACTAGCAATAAAACTTATGACAACATTAATATGTCTGTCTTTGTATTAGATTCTTATGAATTAACATGGCTGTGTTAATGTTTCTGTAGCTAACATGCTCTATATACATATTATATATGTATATAGGTTGAAACAGAATGGCGACTACAAGAACAATTTGTGGTTCGGGATCTTCAGTCTGCCCTTGCTGCTGATGCTTTATTAACAACTCATCCAATCACTCAGCCTGTCGATAGTCCAAATAGTATACGGGCCATCTTTGATACAATTTCTTATGAAAAAGGTAATTACACAACAAAATTATGGTTTACTTCAGTTATTCAAAACAGATTATTTTTTTACTTAATATGTAGTTGCTCACTATAGATATTGATGTAAAATCACTTCAGCTTAACTCGTTAACTCCATATGTTGTGTCTCTCTTGAAAAGGATGATAAACATCACACAGAAATATGATTTTCAAACATAATTGGTACCAATTGACTTTTATTCAGGGAGGAAAATGAATGGATGAATGTAAATATTCAGTAGTGGTGAATAGATCTAGTTTTATCTCTTAAAATCACTCCTAATACTTCAATCATCAAACAAAAACAAAACTCCGTGGCCCATAGTCTGCAAGCGAACTATACCGACTGAGTGACTGCTGCTTGTCAGTGAAAAAATTACCAACTTTCGTGGATAGAGGGCATCACGTGGTCAGCGCAACGGATCCCCACTGCCGTTAATCTCAGGTTTTTAGACCAGAGCCTCTATTTCCTTGCAATAGCTCCTCATGAGGGTGAGTGGATCCTGTTCCAGACCCACTACTTCTCAGCAAATCTGTTAGAGCCGGGAATCGAACCCAGACCTCTGGATCTGTAGCCAGGAACTTTGACCAATAGACCACAGATGCAGTCAGTATTTCAGTCATAGGGGCCTATAATCGCCAGAAAGAGAGTATTAAAAAAATAGATTTCTACCAATCATTCAAGAGATATTTTGTTTATATCCCGTATAGGGACCGGCTATCCTGAGTAGGAACATTTTCAGCTTCAGTTAATAGAGAATGTCAAAATAATTCCTTAAATTAGGCTGTTACCACTTCACTTAGGAGTATTCTCAGAGTCCTACTCATTCCCGTCTGTTGCTGCATACTGCAGCTGAGATATCATCATCAATTGGCCTAAAAGTAAGCCTTTTTATAAACAGTCCAGTATTTATACTATTATGATATGAAACATTGTTTACATGGGAAAATTTCCAGCTGCCTAATTATTAGTTCTTGCATTTTATAGTGCCAGTCAGGGCTGAAAATGGGGATAGACATGAGTCTAATGCCTGCTTAGTTCCGAAGTGCTTCATTTTGTTGAAGCATTTCGAGTGCCTTAAGATGTCATAACAAGTTTCCCACTAATTATGTATATAGGAATAAATTTATGAACTTGCACTTTAATAATTTTTTCTTAACATTTCGCAGACCGGCGATTTAAATATTTAAATCACCCTGGGGACAGGCATTTTTAAACCTACTACCCTAACTTGTGCACTGTTCACTTTAAAAATTCATATATAATTTCCTAATTAATTTTATGAACTAAAATTTTTGGAGAACACTTTCCAGTGCTTCAAGAAGTGCTTGAGAGTGTGATATTTTTGGAAACATTCCCCTTTGTGAAGTGGCATTACAGAGAACTTGCAAATGTAGACATGCTCCTTTTTTTGTGAACTGTGGAAACATGGCATTGCCTAGAAAGATGCTTCCCTTTGGAATGTTCACTCTTCACAATTTTCACGAGGGTATGTTTCCACATATCACCCGAGAGTCACCCTGTGGGATCCACATGAGGCTTGTGTGGGTTGGGATTGGATGGGCACGGTCGCACTAAGTCTGTGTCTGACTCTGGTTCTGCCACCACCACCTGGTCTGTAGCCCAGGGCTTTGCCACATTCATCAGAAATGCTTTGTATTTCAATTTTGAATCAGGGTTTAGATTTTTGTGATTTTTTAAATTTTTTACTGTCCCTGCAATGTTAGTCACCGCAATGTTATTACCCCCATTATCATCGGAGCTACGGTCACTTTTACTGTCTGTGGCCACAATTCTTTGATCTCCCCTGTCACTGATGCTCTCTCAAACACCATAACTATGCATCTCACAAGGCAGGTCAGCTGGATCATCGGAAAAGAATTTGTCCTTGTCCATACCCCAACACTAACTACTGGCTGATACATACAACTTGAAGAGCAACAAAGCATTATCGCTTATAGTAGCTTAAGAAAACAGCGAGATCAACTTACTGACAAGTAAGTGAATATTCCAGAGTTTTATTGCGCCATTGCGTGCAACTTGGGTGGCGCCAGAGAGATGTATAGTGTGTTGCAACTTATCGTGTTTTAAAAACCTGTTAACAGGCGAACGGTCCGCCATGTTTAAAAGCGAAAAACCTTTTAAAGGGTGCGCGGTCTGCAAAGTGTTAATATTTGTTGGTCATTCCCCTCAGTTTTTCTTCTAATAGGGACAGCTGCCTAATTCTGAAGACGTTTCCACCCCTAAGAACAATAAGTCCAACTGCTTTAGAATAAACTAACTCTCAGATTATAATGCACAGATCCAACATATTCTTACAATGGAGTGACCTGTTCCAATTCATAAGCAAGTTGTAACAGGTGTACAGAATTCAGGCTCTTGTGAACACAGTCATGAACTTCAGGTACCGCAAATGGCAGGAAATTTATTGAGTTGCTAGACAATTATTACATTCTCAAGAAGCATTCTACTCCAGGGGGTAACAGAATTCTTGTATGAAGTAATAATTAAAATTTTTTTATTTACAGAGACCTCAAGTATAATTACTGTGTTTTCTTCTGCAGGTTGAGGCCAATGTCAGTATTATTCTAATCAAGTATTGCTTGTTTAATGATTGTGACAGTCTTGAATATTTATGGACGTCTTCTCTTGCAATTTAAGTGGAACAGAAATACACAAACCATGAAAAACCCCTTAGTCTAAATAACAGTTCATAATAGTAAGGTAAAGTCAGATAAATAACAGTTGATGTTCATACTGAAAAATTACTTCATTTACATTTCATCACACAACTGTACACCAAAAGTCAAAGTGTGAACCAATGGAAGTTCAATAATATTTTCTATTTCTGCTTATAGCTGGTTCAGTTATTCGTATGATGGAGCATTTTGTGACCACAGAAGTATTCAAAAAAGGATTGAAACGATACTTGGTTGCCCGGTGAGTATGTTGTCAGACCAGCTACTTATGTGCCTTTCATACTCCACATTTCACTATACTAAACATAAAAAAATCAAACAAACTCAGTGGCCTGTAGTCTGCAAGCAAACTAGTTTAGTGCCAACTTTTGCAGATGGAGGGTGTCACGTGGTCAGCGTAACAGATCCCCACAACCATTAATCTCAGTTTTCTAGACCCGAACTATACTAAACATAACAGTAAAAATTTAATTTTACTGTTTTACTGCATTAAATACAGAAAAGGATTTGTCTCTTACAGTAAAACTCCCACGTGATGTTTCTTTGGGGAGTAGTGTGACTGCCTTTGTGGTCTAGTGGTCAGCTGCCTACAGATCCAGAGGTCTGGGTTCGATTTCTGACACTACCAGATTTTCTGAGAAGTACTGGGTCTGGAACAGGGTCCACAAAGCGTTGTGAGGATAATTGAGCAATTTCAAAGAAATAGGGGCTGCGATCTAGAAAAGCAAGATTAATGGCCATGGGGATCCATTGGCTTGACCACATGGCACCCTCTATCCACTAAAGTTGGCACTAACTCTCAGTTCTCTTTTAAACTGACTCATTTTTTTCACATCCCTAATTTTGTTTGGTAATTTATTGCATACTTTGAGTCCCATATTCATTACACCTGTCTTGAAGTTTTTACACATGAATGGTTCTTGCACAGAGCCCTTCATTTCTGAAAAGAGTAGTCAATGGCAGGAGCTGGGTCTCCAAAGAGTACAGAGATACTTCTGTACCGAAACAGATGAATAAGCTGGTGAACTGTCAGGGTAGAGAAGTCAGTCCGCTGATTCCCAAGGACAAAGGCATTGTGGTGGATGGTTTATTATAGATGGGAAACAGTACCTTTGTACAGGATGTAACTGATGTGTTTTTTCGAGTTAACTCACAGTGAGTTATGTAAAAATATTTTTCTCAATTTCAGCGACCATTTGGATGCAAATGAGAACCACCTGTATGAGGCAATAAATGCAGAATTGCTGGAAACAAAACCTGGCTCTCATGAAAATGTTGCTGATATACTGCATACATGGACTCAACAAGCTGGTTATCCTCTTGTGACTATTACTTCAGAAGACAGTGGACTGACGATAACACAGGTACCTGTACTCTTAACATAATTTACTTTTGTAATGTACTATCGGTATACAGACAGCAGTTAAAATTTTTAATATGTGAATTCTCATGTAATCCCAGCATTATATCTTTGGATGCTGCTGCTTAAGGGAAGTTAAAGCTCTAACTTTGATAATTCTGATAAAATGATTATGTGATTTCACCTTTGAAGCCGTGTTGCCATATCTGTACAATTCATTATCAATAACATAAGTAGGTATGATGTGGTATAGCTCAGTCATTAAACTGACTGGCTCATGGTTAGATGACTTGAGATCAATCCCCATTAGGGGCAAGCTTGGTTCTCTCCCTCATTGCATCTGGAGTGATGAGCTAAGGGCTGGATGACTGGGGTTTGATTCTCGGCAGGAGCAAGAGATTTTTCTGTGCTCCACAGCATCCGGATCAAATCTAGAGGCCCCGAGCCTCCTATAAAATGAGTACCAAAAGTTTTTTCTCTGGCGGTAAAGCTGCCAGTACATTAAGCTGATCATTCACCTCCATCTAGTGCCAAGGTCACGAATGGTGACGCTATACCTCCACTCCCTCATATATCTTCATAGCGTGGTGCTTAATTGATTAAATCCAGGGACAACTTTACCTTTAAGCTTATCATTGAATCCAGACCAACCCTCCTCCTATCCAGCAGATTCCATCATGCTCTTGAGGTTAAATTGACTTGGATGTGGAGATGACCACTCAGGAAAATTTTTTATTTTTTTTTTTTTTTTTAAATTGTAATGTTCTGAATACTTGGGCTCATGGCATGTAATGGAGTAAATCCATCAGTTATAATTATATTAGTTAAAATACCCTGAACCATAATGTCAGGCAGTTGTTACAGATCTAAATTCAGAAATATCTGTATGAGGCGTGCTGGCTAAACAAAGATTGCCTGTAAAAGTAGACATATGTATTGAAGAATGAAATTAAACTCAAATTTTGATATGACAGGTAAAATGGTTTCACAACTGAGTGATGGAAATTAGAAATGTGGCGAAGTATAGAAATCTCACTGTACAGCAAAACAAAACTCTTCACTTATTTAAAAAAAAAATAATAGGTTAATGCTTAATCTTAATTATCATGATGTGTAATAAAGACAAAACCAATCCTTCCATTTCTGTAGGAACGGTTCCTCTTAACACGAGCATCTACTCGAAATGAGGGCAGTACTTTGTGGTCTGTTCCTCTCACTTATGCAGTACAGGATGGTGACTTCACTGACACTTCAACCAAAGAGTGGCTAACAGAGTCGTCTCTGAAAATTGGCCGACCAACCGAAGAAGATAAATGGTTTATCTTCAATGTACAACAAATAGGTATACAACACAGTCTGTGACAGTTCACAATAATTCAATAGAATTAAAATATATTTACATTCTGCAGATGCTTCAGCGGATGTATCAAGGATGTAGACTGGTTATTTAATGACAGTGTCAGTATGCAGTGTATATAGGGCCAAGGATGTATAATGGGCCATATACATTTTATACAAATATAAATATAAACGTTAGAGCTATTTATAGACAACTTACTTGTATATCATATTGTTGTGTGTATTAGTGACTAATAACACGGGTTCTGGGTTGGATGAACAGGTTTGTTTACTCCTTATACACACCACGAGTAATTACATATATTTATAGTTCTATCACTATTTCTGCACTTTATAATTCACTATTACACACATACTAGTCCTCTCCTGATAACGCAATTAAGACACAGGAACTACAAAAGTCTCACTTAACCTTTAACGTATGGACTTTTAAATTTGCGGCAGCTCCTACGGCCGGAATTTAAGTGGCCCTAAGTCTTTAACATTGCAAACTTTCAGAAAAAAATGCATATTTTCCGTTCTGTGCAACATTGGAATATGAACTAAAAAGAACCTGAAAGACAATAAAATTTTCTACATATACACAAAAGGGCAAGTTTTACAAATGAAAATTAAGTGTGATTATTTTGTCATGAAATGCAAAATATAATCGTTATTATATACGTTATGAATTTCTAAAGGACTTACCCGTTGTTTTTCTTCAACCTTGAATCGTGGTGGTGATGTAAATATGATGACACTATATACAATAATATTTGGTTCAGACTGTACATGGTTTGGACTGCGTCACTTCACAGTTTACACTCTGATGTGTGTGTGTGCCATTTCTCGAAGCAGTCCACCACACACAGCGCAACATCACACTTTTTACAGTAGAAAACGTGCTCCTGCTTTTCTTGTTTATAGAACAAACGGGACAACGTCTTTGTTTCGCTTTAGCTGGCCAGTGTTTTGAATGTTTCACCTCCAGTCAGCTCAGTTGGGCCCCAGATGAACTTGGCCTCCCCCGAGAAACGCCACTGGCCGTGATATTTGCCTCATGTGATTGAAGAATCAAATCAAGCACCAAAGTTTTGCGGAATTTTTTGTGCGTCATTTTTCCATCACATGACTTGTGTAACAGATATGCATTGAGAATAGTCATGTCTAGGAGGTGGAAGAATAATTTCTTCGTCCATTTCCATGTCCTCAGAGTAACGCCATAGCTGTTTACGATCCTCTCAGATTTATCCACAAAGCCCATGTGTGCATTGTAGTTGTCAATTACATGAGGTTTGATAGCATGGCCAGATTTATCTCAGAAGTTGCCTTCCAATGGAGGAGGGTGCATATTCGTCAGAACATACACATCACACTTGTCTTTCCAACAAACAACACTTAGATTCCTCTTCACTCTTGTCACAATATCCCCTTTTTTCAATTTCATCGATTTGGGCCGAATTTCTTGTGGCATTCCACACCTGTCATTGCGAACGGTGCCACACGTATTTATTTTACGCTCTAGAAGATTGTCATACAATGCAGGGGAACTGAAATAGCTGTCCATATAAAGTTTGTGTCCTGAGCCTTCTACTCTTTGAATTAGCTGGAGAACAATGCCATGGGTTGGTGTAATTTCTTCAGTTGCAAGTTGCTTTTGTTTCCCCAAATAAACAGTCATGTCATATGTATAGCCCAGAGAATCGCAAACTTGTAAATTTTTATTCCAAATCTTTTGTGTTTCTTTGGAATATACTGCTGAAAAACCACTCTTCCTTTGAACAGCACTATCACTTCATCAAGTGCAAGATGTTCCGATGGATTGTAAAGTTCACAAAATTTGCTGTTAAGATTGTTGAAAATTTTTCTAATCTTCCAGAACCTATCGTACTCTGGGTCCTCTCGATTTGGAGGAGCTTCATTCTCAAAATGCAGGAATCTCAAAATATGGAAGAAACGGTCGCGTACCATGGTGTTATGATAGAATAGAGTGTAGTACTGCTCATCTCTTGACGAATAATCTTTCAGGGTGTCCTGCTGATTGTGGCTCATTTGAATTATTATGGCCAAAAATTTTGACATTTCTTCAATTGTGACGTCAGGCGGTTGAGCAGAAGGGCCTGGAGCTTCATGGCTTGCCAAAAATTGATGAAAATATCTGTTTCTTGTACCAAGATCTGGAATATATGCTGGGAGGGAGAGGGCTCAGCATTTATATTGGGCGCAGTGGATCTGTTTATTCCACTCGGAGGACCAGTGAAATCTAGGAGCTTTGCCGAATCCCTGGGTCTTATATTGTGAAACCTGATCTCCATTCCCCCTGCCTCATTACTTGATGATGATGATGATGACATATGCTCGCGAGGTTCAATGACCTCATTGAGTTCTTCCAACTCTTCATCAGATTCATCTTCCATCAATATTTCCTCCAGTTCTTCAGCATCGAGGAGTTTTGAGTATCGGGCTCGTTTTTGAGGTTCCATCTTGGGGGAGGGGGCTTCCAGCTAAATCCTATAATTTATGATGATTGAAAAGCGAGACTGTTAGGGACACCTGTTAGGAACACTCGCAAAATTGTGATGCAGAATAATTGCAATAGCAATCGAAAAGTGCCAGTCCGCCACTGATACCGAAAGTCACAGTGACGAAGATGTCTTTACGCACAAAGTAACACTGGCTCAGTGGGTTTATACCTCTTCCGAGATACACAATAAAAATAGTATACAAAGAAATATAGGAGTCTGACGCTGACTTCCTAACTAATAACAAAATATTAGAAAATTCGCCACTGACGTCCTAACTAAGAAAACAACACTGCAAACCAATCCCTGAATGCATAACACTTCCTTGAAAGCTCTGGTAGCACTGATATGCAAGCGCCCACGAATATTTCCTCCTCTAAGATCTCAAAACAAAGCTGACTTCTATTGGCTCACCAGGTCAGAAACTGTCATATCCAAATGTAAATAGTTTCGAAACCAGTACCCTGATAAACGATTTCATTTTTCAGAGCTAACAAATAAACATCTGACATGAAGTTCATGAGTTTGTTTGGGTTTGAAACCCAAAGTCAAACTGCCAGCACTCACAGAGTAAGCATATGGCTTGCCTCTAAAAATTATAACATTCGTGGCTTGCTACTTGCTGCCAATAATTATAACATTCCGCCATTAAAGGTTAATCACACAGTCAAAATATTACACATACAGTGTTCTCTTCACAGCTGCTTACTTGCGGGTAACTCTTAACTACACTGTACTCTGCACTAATGTAAGCTAAATAGGCACAATAGATCGCTGTAGTCACAGTGCAAGGGCCAAGAAGGCCCACCCCCTATACAATGTCAGCTAAAGCAGTCATTACCAATTTGTGAACCAAAGAACATTAAACATTAAACACAGCACACAATACAGCAGACAGCACACGTAGTACAGACAAGCAGCGGCACCCACACAAGAAGACTACATTAAATAACACCTGTACAGTGTGAAAACAAGAACTAGCCGCTCCAGCACTTAGACATAGGGCGAGTAACCCTAAGAATTTTAAATTTTAAATTTAAAATTTAGTGAAAAATTTTAAAAGGTTTTAAAACATCATAACTAAAGATTTTTAGAGTGCTACTACAAGAATAACAAATTTGACGTGTGCAACATAATCTACATACCAGACATATATCAACGATGTAGACGTTGATAATACGAAGAATGTGACATTGTGTTTTTAAATGTTAAATTTTAGACTGGGTTCAGTGTGGCAACAACATTAAGAATATACACCTGATGATGGCCGATAGAGGCCGAAACATGTAGTGTAGAAAGAACAAGATCAAGGACATATAATATATATTGTTTGCACTTGGGACGGAGTTTGTATCATTTATCGTGTAGAGTGCAACAGGATGCTTAAATATAATAAAGAATTTTTTGTTAACTGAGTTTTCTCTGTATTATAATATTCTGTGTTTAATGGATATTGTCATGAATTATCCATTATTAGTGTTGTATTTATTCCTCTGTATTCATAGCCAGCTTGTTAATAGTAAACCATTGACTCACATGAGAGAGAGAGAGAGCTCAGTTTAACAATGTACAGAAATCATCAAAACTTTTACCAGAAATTATGACAAAACTCTCATCATTGAATATTATGGGTACTGGCAAAGCATTTATATTTTTCATAGGGTTCTATCGAGTCAATTATGATGAGCACAACTGGAATCTCCTAACAAATTACCTGAAGAGTGAAGATTATGAGAAGATCCCACCTGTTAATAGAGCTCAGATTTTGGATGATGCCTTGAACCTAGCCCGAGCTGGGATTCTAGAATATAGCACTGCCCTTGAACTGACTCAGTACCTGGAAGAAGAGGTGGACTATATTCCCTGGTACTCTGCGCTCAATGCCTTCTCATTCTTAAATCTCCGACTGGCAGGCACCAGCACTCATCCCCTTTTTAAGGTAAAGTAACATGATTGGCAACTAAATCATATAATTCATGTATCATATTTATAGTACAGTAGAACTTGGTTATAATGTCATCAAAGGGACCTAAAAATAGTGTCGTTATAAACGAATGTCGTAACCGAAATGGGCACTTCCACAGAAGCCTTATGTTAGTCACGTAAAAAGCTACCAAAAACTGAGTTAAAATGTTGCATTTTTTAGTGAAATACATAATTAAGTACAGACTAACGTAACATTAACGTGGAATTGCCCAAATGTGTAATATCAAAGACATATTACAGCGCTTTTCACTGACAATACACACAATATTTCACGAATCACTTTAACTTTCTCTTCAATGCTTAAAACTTTCCTTTTCATTGCCATGTTTTCGCTACTGCACTTCTCTGGGTTTAGGCAGGAACACTATAGGGTAAGTAGACAATGTGAGGTCCTGTTAGACGAGATTCTAGGAAAGGAATGCAGTTAACAACCTGCCGCGTCCTCTTGCACTATTCACGCAGTCCCACCCCACACCCTTGTTTTCGCATAAAACCCACGCTCCTCTTGCAGCCCGCGGTCGTATTCTTCCAGGACAGTCACGTCATCAAGTAGAGAAAGTGAGGGTGGGCAGACACATCATACTTTCCCACGATATCAGAGAAATTCAGGAATGAAAATGACGCTACATACGAGGTTGATGCATTTGTGCGTGTCGTACTAAGCAAGGTATAAAAAAAGTTGCTTTAGGAGGAATTAGTTCGTACCATTGAATATTTGACGCAATAGACAAGGTGTCGCAGAAACCGATGTTGCTATAACCAAGTTTTACTATATTTGAAAGTGTGCTGCTGATTTTGAGGAAGAAATTTAATTTTTTGAAATGTGAAACAGAATGCTTAAAAATGCGTATGATACAAATTTAATGCCAACTGTGGCCTTCAGCTCCCATGTGGACAGAATGAAAATATGTAATTGCTTATTTTTGCAAGTTTAAAGAAGAAAAATTCGACACAAATTGAACAAAAGAGAAGAAAGAACAGAAGCTTATTTTTCACGATACTTATTTATTTTTATATGTATATAACATAATATACAATATGATATAATTATAGAATAATAATATTATATTTATTTAAGGAGAACCATGATTTATAATATTTGTTACAGTGTGTTACAACTTGTATTCTGAAAATTAGGAAGCAGTGTTTGTAAAACAAATGTGAGCATTTATCGAGAGAACAGAAACATGTAGGACATTTAAAAAGTTCACACATTAATTATAAAGTGTGCAAGTAAAATTATATGTTCATGATACTGAACCTTCAAATGCAACATATCTCATACCTCTTTTTGTGTCTTACACTGAACTAAATTGGAAATCACTGTATTTCTAGCTTCACATTTAATGTCTTTCATATCGGTTGCACACATCTGTTTGACTCCACTACAAAGCTCGCACTGAGGTTAATCCTGTTTTCTTCTTATGCTGCAGCCCCATTTTTATGCCGGTTATATCTTCAGGAATGTTCTGAATATATCTCAAACAAAGCAGTTTTTCACTTTCTTGGAAGGAAATAGAATGAGAAAAGGAGTTATAGAGATTCTTAAAGTTCTGAGAGTGAGAGGCATTCATTAGCCAAACTATGCCAACACCACCTCACAACTTCTGTAATCCCAGAAATATATGTTATTATTTTGCTGCCCATTATACTGTATTGTGTTCTCTTTGGTGCCCCATACACGCTAATGTTCTTGCTGTGTCATGAAATTAAACTTCCAAGGATTATATTTTGAAAACTACTAAAAATATTGGATTGGATTGTAATTTAGTATATTGTAATTGTATAAACTGAAGTTTTAGTAGCTCTTATATGTAATTACAGTCCCCTGAAGATGATAGAACTCTGTCAAGACAAGTCAACTGAAGTGAACATTTTATAAAGTAGACTGAAGTATGAGTAGATACTATAGAGTTCTGACAGTGATGTATAACACACAGAGATACTGGTTTTTGGACTTTGTCCATCATCCAGATTATAAATAACTGAGAAAGAAACACAACGTTTTGGAAACTGAATCTGTTTCCATCCTCAGGTGAGGAAAGACACCTACTCTGTTGGATCCCTTAGAAAGAGCCAGCCTCAATCACTGGACAACCGATGTCACAAAACGCTAAGGCTATAAATAACTAAGAAAAACTCAACGTTTCGGAAACTGGATCTGTTTCCGTCCTCAGGTGAAGAAAGACACCTACTCTGTTGGGTTCTTTAGAAAGAGCTACCCTCAATCACTGGACAGCTGATGTCACAAAACACTAAGGGACCCAACAGAGTAGATGTCTTTCCTCACCTGAAGACGGAAACAGATCCAGTTTCCGAAACATTGCGTTTTTTCTTAGTTATATGGAACCCAGACAATGGACAGAGTCCGAAAACCCAGTAGGTCTGTGGACTAAAAGTATGTAGTCCTGTGGTTTTATTACATTGACTTATCCATGAAAAATACAGTGGTAATAATGACATTATGAAAACAGAAGTTGAATATGGATTCATGCATTTCTTTTAACAGGAATATATTTTGAAATTGATTCAACATGTTTACGAGGACCTCACATATGAGGAAAGTGATGCAGATGATCATGTGACAAAACTCCTCCGCAGCTCAATCCTTCAATGGGCATGCAATTTGGATCATGAGGACTGTGTTGAAAAGGCCAAAGGAAAATTTCACGCTTTACACGAAGGGTAATTCATAACTAATATACAGTAACATTTTACTGGGAACTGAGTACTTCCAGTACTGTGGGCAGGACATCATATGTTTTGCCATAAGGACATGCAGTAAATCCATTGCCTTTCCAGCCCCCTGTGGATAAGTATAGTTCAGACCCAAAATCTACTTCACTGACACACCATAAGGACTGAAATTTACAGATCTCTAATTAAATTTATATAGAATTAATACAACAGATGCTAGAACAATTCTTCAAGTTGTCTTCCATTTCAGTAAGGATCTTATGAAGTGATGAACACTCACAAAATGTTATGCCATAGACAGGAATCTTAACTCATGGTTAAAACTACCTCTGATTACTAGTTTCATATTTGAAAAATAGTAATTAGCAAAGTCAGCTTACATATTTTATTGAAATTTATAAAATTGATTAAAAAGTAAGAAAAATGTATGCACATGAAGATGTGTAGACACCATACACAATAAGATTCCTTTCTATTATAACATAAGGAACAAGGGGCTACAACATTTTGCAGTTCTGAAAAGAAAAAGCATGTTACCATATTGTAACATATTTGTTTTTGTTTCTTATACATTTATCAGGCTCAGAAGCAGAAACTTAGAATTTAATTAGCCTGATTACTTGATAAGATGAAAGTCACAGAGATAGTCAAGAAATTCCCCACCTTTTATGGAGGTCAAAGGTTATTACTGTGTTTAGAAGAGTCCACCATGTGGCCCTGTCCTGAGCCAGATGAACCCAGTCCATATACTTTGACGCTTCCATGCTTAAGGTCCATTTTAGCTTATGGTGTAGTTCATAAATCCTTTACATCAGTCTGTGTGTCTGTATATGTATCCCCTTACATCGCTAGGCAGTGGTTCAGTAAAAACATTACCATGGCAATAAATACACACACAACAATAGATTAAGTGTTGGATGTGTTGTTTTCTGTGTGAGTCATATCATATAAAAAACTAGATGATTAGCTCTTACCAGAACTTCTAATGAAGCAAAATTACCACTAGAATTCATATGCGGAAGCTAGTAAAGATAGGGCATGATGTGCGGTACCGAACATGGACTGAGAGAGGCCTTGTATATACATTCATGTAATAACTTGTAAAATGAAAATATATTGTACATTGTAAAAGACCCATCCTCTCACCAGAGAAGGGGCCCCACATCAACAAACCCGCAACTGTCTGACAGAAACAAGAATCTGGTCTTAAGTCCAAAATGGCTGCTTGATGCCAAGACAGACTGGCCATCAGTCGTAACATAACTTTAACTTAACTTTAACTGGAACTTCTTGCAATATTATACTCCCATCTGTGCCAGGTGTCCCAAGTGGTTTCTTACCTTCAGAATTTTTGACTAAAATATTGTCACGTGTTGGGTGTATAACGGGACAAATAATTTTACGCCTTATTTGATATAGTGAATTTTATTTCACATTCACTCTTACAATCACACAGTTTACAATCTCAACATTACTGCCATCAGCAGTGTCACAAATACTAGACTGCAAATGGTAGACTACAATTGACTGGTTGACTGCCTGGCTAACTCGTAACTACCTCGTAGCTCGAGAACTCGTAACCGGCTAGATTCTAACTGAATAGTTTTCACTGCTCCTTATTTAGCCTCGTTCCGGACGACACAGAGAACAGCCAAGTAACAGGCACCACTGTTGCCTGGCGCCATGTTGCTAGCAACGCTGTCGGGAGTTGTTTACGGTTGCATAGCAACCGCGGCATCCCTTGGCCACGTCACTGCTGGCGGGGTAGGGGAAGGGGTGTTGACTTGCCTGCTACCTTAGTAACAACAGCGATCCGATGGTGTTACGTCACTGCTGGTGGGGGGAGGGGTGTCCTGCATAGTGCAACACGTCACAATATTGTATGTATTTATGTCTCTCCCATACATGCTACATGCTCTCTCCATGTCTTCCTCTTTAGTTTGATTAACTATAGTGATAATTGGTGAAGAGACAGATTATGAAATTCTTTATTGTTAAGTATCCTCTGTCCTCTTGTTACTTCCCTTCCTATGATTCAAACATTCTTATCAGCAGTCTGTCTCAAACAGTGTCAGTCTCTGTGAGATTTAAGGTTCTTACTGTGGTAACTATGAGGAGCACTGACCTCTACAATGTGATGCTGTGTAATCAAAAAGAATTTTATTGAAGTTTTTGAAGTAATACAGCCAAACTGCTACTAGATTACATGGTGTCACATGCAAGAAGATGGTACTTTCCATCCTTGATATATGTTCTCTTCCCCCCCCCCTCCCAATGAGAGTTATACACTAAATTTCAAACCCTCACAATATGGCAGGTAAAATGATATTTTTGTATACTTTAATATTTTGTGTTTGTGGATAGGAGATGAGAAGATGTCATATTGTTAACTGAAAGCTAGCAATCATTCTCAAAATTCGGTCTCCTTTCCATGTATTTCTAAATCTAATTTTGATTTTAATAGAGGGCATTCTGGTCTGTCACGCTATTTGACATTAAATGAAGAACGGCAGTATCAAGTTCAACCAAATTGGTTTCACTTAATAATGTTGTGTACTTAATTTTGATTTGTTGCTGTTGCTCCCAACATTTTGGTAACTATCTTTATGTTATGATTATATATATCTCAGTACTGAACTTCATAAGCTAATGTGTTTGTTTTTCAAATGACAGTTCTAGCATCAAACCTAACCTGCAGAGTGTCACTTACTGTACTGCACTTCGTCATGGAGGAGAAGAGGAGTGGAATCTTCTGTGGGATAAGTACGTTAAATCAAACTTTGCTACTGAGCAGAGCCTTATCCTAGGAGTCTTAGGATGTACAGCACATCAGGAACTCATTAACGAGTAAGTTGCATGTTCCGATTGAAATGAAAAGATAAAATATTTGTGTGGTAATAGAGTTTAGGCTGGTCACGGTAGCCGAGCAGTCTAAGGCGTGTACTGTCTTCGCTCACTTGGAAACCGGGATTGTGGGTTTGAATCCCACTCAGGGCATGGATGTTTAGTTTGTGTGTGTGTGTGCGTTTTTCTGTGCTTGTGTACAGGTAGAGGCCTTGTGACAAGCTGATCACCCACCCAAGGAGTCCTATTGAATGTGTAAGATCTAGAAAACCGAAGTGAACGGAGAAGTTCATGGAGGTAGGCCTAGGCCCACTGGGGCTGTATTGCCAAGGAGAAAAAAAATAAGAGTTAGTATCCTAAGACAGGTATGTGCAGCTCTCAGACTGCAGCCATATCTTTTTGTCCTAAAATCTGCAAAGACTTTGTTTGACATTATTTGTCATAGTATGAATTCACATTCCAATATAATAGAAGAATTAGCTGCACTGTGTAGTAGAATATAATCAGACTTATAATATTGGCTGCACTGAGGAAGAGAAATGGATTGATAGCATCAACTGTTCAAGTTCTGGTACAATGCTTATATTAAGAGATCACAGACAATATGGAGAAATGATGAGAGAAAATTAATATCAGCAGAAATACTTTATGAGGGGGTCTGTAGCATACATCTTTTCAGGCCATAAAGGAACTGAAGAAATTATGAGAAAATACAAGTTTTCATCCTCCTTGACTTGAACAATCTAATTATACTAGGCAAAGAGAATGAGTTTTGAAACTCCACATTATGCCATTTTCTCCAACCCCCTGACACTACATCCCTCTTCAGCCCAAATATTCTTCTCAGCACCCTGCTCTCAAACACCCAAAGTCTATGTTGCTCCCTTAATGTCAGAGACCAAGTTTCACACCCATATAAAACCGCAGGAAAAATTATAGTGTATACTAGTTTTTACATTTTAGACAACAGGCGAGAAGACAGAATGTTCTGGACTGAATGGTAGCAAGCAGTACCTGAATTCAGTCTTCTCTTAATTTCGTGCTCAATCAAATTTTGATTTGTTACTGTCATTCCAAAATATTTGAACTGCCACGTTTTCAAAGGATCTCTTAGCTATATTTATGTCATTATTTTCCTCTGCATTCTGGTAACGAGACAGAAACATATTAGTGTACTTGGCTTTGTCTACATTTACTTCTAGACCAATCATCTTATTAGCATCAGCTAGAGTTTCTGTGTTTTTCTTTATGGTCTCTATGCCATCTTCCAGCAGATTCACATCATCAGCATAGACCACCAGCTGATGTATCTCTTTGAATTTCAGTCCAATATGGTTTTCCTGGACTTTCCTAATGACATTTTCTAAAGCAAAGTTGAAGAGCAAAGACTAGTTTAAACCTATTTAATAAAAATTAATTAAAATTTATAACCATAACTTGCACTATTGGATGAAAGTAAGTGAGTAAAGGTACCCCTGTAACAGGCCGTGGAGGCCCATAAGGTTGTGAGATGTTGAGGTTCCCACATTTTCTAGACAGTCAGCTCATAGAAGGAGGTAGGGTGGATGTCAAAACTTAAATTGGCCAGCAGTGGTTTGGTATTTTCAAACTTTGTTTGATCTTTGAAAAAAGTAACAGAGGTTGTACTAGGCTGCAGATTAATGATATATGAAGATGGACACTCCTCAAAACTTTTATAATTGACAGAAGATTTCAGCAACTGATTGGTGATCATAGAAATACAATTGGAGGGATGAATTTAAAGAACTAATATTATTACAGCACCCCCACTCTTCCTCTGTAAGATTATACACAAATCTGGAATTGAAAATATTATGAATATGGGAAAGGTTCAGATTTCCAATTGTTAGAAAATTATATTTTGCGTTAGTCTGAGCTGACTTCAAAAACAAAAGGGTAAATTTTCTGCAGTCATCTGTATGTATAAAATAACTTCACTTTCTTCAGTGAATTGCCCTGAAATTTAATAATGGCTGACCTCACTACACTTCACAATTTTAAACCATGCTCCAAATTTAGATGCAGAAAACATATTCTCAAGTAAGATTTGAGGTTTTCACGGTGGTGACTGTGAAGAAAGCAGTCTTCTGGGATGTGGCACCGTGTAGATGTGTTAACCGAAGTTTCGGAGGAACAAGCAGTCTTCTTGTACCAGTTCTCACAGTCTCTTCACTTGTGGATTTTCTTATTTTTCTTTCGTCCCTGAAGATGGAGGTGATACATTCCTCTGAAACGTCACTTAACACCACATCTACACGATGCCACACCCCAGAAGACTGCTTTCTTCAACATATTCTCACATTTCTGGTTTGATAAAACTTAATATCAGAACTTCTTGATAAGATCAAACACATTGTAACATCATCTAATTATGACTGCCACTTTATTTGTTGATGAAATTAATCTTTTAATATCGTTCATCTAAAATTGAAACTGAAACTGAAATATGACAGCACAAATATTCTACTGTTATTGAAGAGTTGCAAGACTGTCATACACATCCAAAAGTCCTTTGATTGGTGTGGAAGGAGACGAAAGGTGACACACAGACTGAGTTAATCCATTTGTCTCGGTGCTCTGGTACGTTGTCACAAAGGCATTTATGCACTTATGTCTCATATGAAAGTGCTCAATGATACATGAGAGCTGTATGCAAGAACATAATTCATTTCACTGCATTAAATGCTTCATTCATTCATCAGTAATCTGTCAGATGACAGGTCCACAGTCTCTTCCAAAACAGTTCCTCCACTTAATGCAATCTCAAGCTTTCTCCTTCCATTAAAATATCCTATTCTGTCCCCAAGGTCATCCAGCATCTTCTTACGTCTTCTTCCTCGTCTTCTATCCGCCCCTCCGGCTTGTTTTGTCTCCAGAGGAAACATCTTGCATACATGGTATCTCTGTTTTTGGAAAGAGACTATCCAGGAAAAGTGATAATATGGTAGTTTTTCCATTTGCTTTCTACATCACAGTACAACAGTCATTCAAACCACTCTGGTCACGCCTGTTGTTATATGAACTTGAACCATCTCGAGCATCATTTGCTCTGTGCTTTAAGTCGCTACTGATGACGCTGCTTCTGGCATCAGTTTTTGGTTTTTGGTGTCTCTCTTCGTCTGATGCCTACCCCTTGACCTGTCCAGCAAGGGAAGCCCTGCCAGTAGCTACGCTACTGCTGGTATAGCTCTCAGGGTCCTTGGCATACTCAAACTCACCACGATAAGTTGGAGACACCAACGAGGGGTTTAAATGCTTATGTTACATAAAAGCAAATGCTTGTAATCACAACAGCATGCATTTAAGGTTAAAGACAAGAGTTAGTCCACTGACTGAATCCAAGATATGAGACCCTTGCAGACATTCTCTTTAATATTGCAGGTATCTGAAGAAGTCAATCACAGATAATGGAGACATTCGAAGACAAGACGCAGCAAGTGTGTTCTCTGCTGTGTACTCCAACCCTCAGGGATTTCAATTTGCTTTTGACTTCCTTCGAAACAGTTATGGTGATATTGTTAACTTGTAAGTAAATAACAAAGTTGTTAGATTTTAGAGCCATATGGTAGTGACTGTTATCTTCTGGGACATGATACTGTGTAGTCTGACAGAAGTTTACTACTGTTTCTTTGAAATATACTACCACCATCATCAGGGTTCGAAAATAAGCGAGGCTATCAGCAGGAAGTAGAGTGTGTTCTGTTTGCTGATTGCTTGCTTGTTTGCTCAGCATATCTTGAATTCTGAAAATGGAGGTAGTACATTCCTCTGAAATGTTAGTAAACTTCTATCAAACTACATCCGTTTCTCATTCTCCCAAGTGACTTTCGTTGCTTAGGTTTTTCAGACAAAACTGATGTGATATATTTAAAGTTTTCATGGCAATGAAAATTAAGATTGTGAGCCTCTGTGCTCTAGTGGTCAGAGTTCCTGGCTACAGATCCTGAGGTGCAGGGTTCGATTCCTGGTGGTACCAAATTTTTTGAAAAGTGGTGGGTCTGGAACGGGGTCCACTCAGCCTCATGACTATAATTCAGGAGCTATTTCAAGGAAATAGAGGCTCCGGTCTAGAAAACCGAAATTAAAGGCCTTGGGGATTTGTTACACTGACCACGCTACGCCTTCTATCCACTAAAGTTTACTTTTACATTTATTTTCACTTCATGGATCCAATCATCTCCCTGTAGGGCTGGATATAAAACATGTCACATATCATAAATTCAGGATGACTACACATCATTCGTCCTTTGTCCAATAAAATATATAATCAGGCCTCTCAGAGATAGCTGAAATTGTCAGGACAACACAAATGGGTCATGGAAAAACCACAGTCAAATTCACGCCTTGTCATTACACACACACACTGGCAAACCATATCATTAAAACAGTTACAATTATAAAATATTAAAATTCATAAGAAAAACAGACATCATACATACTACTACACTTACAGCAAGCAAGTCTCAACAATATATAATTCACGCACACAGACCATTTATTAACTCTTAACTTTTGAGCCCCTTGCATGCTCCACAAATTCATCAATAGAGCGAACTACGTTACTTTGCAAATAATTTCGTAAAACAAACCTAAATTTGAAGAAAGCAGTCTTCTGGGATTTGGCACCGTGTATATGTGGTGTTAACTTCTTTTTATCATTTTTTAAAGCTGTGATATTTGACAGCAGAGTGTTAAATAGCTTGACGCCTGAATGATACACCCCTCTCTGATAGGATGATCAGTGTGTTGAAGGTATATGAAGGTGGTCGTTCCTTCTGGTACCAATGACATAGAGTTATTAGTTTGAAACTTATCCAAATTATTAACAAGAAATATCATCAATGAGAGCAAATATACACATGGGATTGGTAGTATGTCGAGCTTTTCAAATAAATCTCTACATGTATGAGTTGGGCCCACTCCCATCATTATTCTTATTATTATTTTCTTTTGTATAACAAAGACCTTATGACTGTCTAATGTATTTCACCATTGAATTGTAATATGCATAATATACAGCTTTAAGACTATTTATATTTAATATATAGGATAATTTACGCATTAGAAAACAAACTGCGCTCAACTGGTGAAGCAAAAAATCGATATGTCGCTTACAAGTTAGATGATTGTCCAGCTGCACTAACTTCGCTGACGCGGTCGCATAGTCGGTATAGTTCGCTTGCAGACTCAAGCCACAGAGTTTGTTTTGTTTGTTTATTTGTTTGTTTGATGATCTGAGTTATGTGACAATGTAATTTTGTGGGTGTAGCTACTTCTGCCCTAAATGTAGAGGCAGGAGGTTTCTCCGTAACAACTGACCTACTATGGCATGAAACAGTATCAGAGTCCAGAAGACCACACTCTTAGAATGTCATATGAATTTCTTGTTTGCCCCATCAGTGCTACATGCCCTCTCCATCTCAACTTCCTTGATTTGAGGTAAAGGTAAAATTTTCCCTGTGCTCAGTTAATCAAGCACTATGACATGAGGAAATATAGGGAAAATTTCACAGCTCGTATGGCTTAATAAAGTTCAGCCTGTCACTAAGATCAGAAGTTTCATTAGCAGTTACATTAATTACCCAAGTTACTTCAAGTCGTATGTTCCGTATCAGGCCGTGCCATAGCTCAAGTGGTTAGTCGCTGGCTACACACCGTGGCGGCCCGGGTTCGATCCCGGGTCTGATCAAGTGGGATTTGTGGTGGACAAAGTGGAGCTGGGGCAGGTTTTCTCCGAGTACTTTGGTTTCCCCTGCCAATCTTCATTCCACCAATTGTTCCACAATCACCCTCACCTATCAGCTGGGGCTGGTACAATAGGCCAGAAGTGGCTGCAGTACAAGGGGCTTAGTCCCACCCCACTAGCAATAAAAAAAAATAATGTTCCATATCTAGTTTATGGCATAATAAATTATAATTGAAATATTTAATTATAGTACAGTGTTAGGGTTCAAGTCTTCACTAGGAGTGTAAACGTGGGTGCCGTTAGAATTTCTTTCATATGGGCAGCTAGTTTTCCAAGGGGGAAGTCAGACTTTGGCTTAGAAACATATGTTTGACCTATTTTAAGCCATGTCATTACTGATTGCCTTAGAGTATTCAGTTTATATGTTTCTAAAAATAATTGTAATTTCCAGTATTAATATTTAATATATTTACTTCCTTTTTCAATTTTTATTTGTTCCAAAAATCCAGATTTTGAACATTCCTGGCTAACACTCATGGGTGTAAATGAATGTGACTCTCACTTGTTCCATTTCTTTCCCTAATGCTGTGTAGTCCATTGAAAGTAATCCAAAATTTCATATGAATATGTCACCTCCATCTTCAGGGTCAAAGAATAGGCCAAACACAAAACCAGTGTGTAAAACCAGGCTGCAAGCTTTCATGCTGGATTCTTCTTCAGCTTATTCTTTGACCCTGAAGATGGAAGTAACATGTCCTCTGAAACATCAGATGACTTTCAACAGACTACATAGCATTATATCCAGAAGGTATAACTCTTCATAACCACCAATGGGAGAACCTAAAATGCTATATAATGTTCATTTAAATATTATAAAATCACCACTCACCTCCAAACAGCTGCTTGTTTAGGAATATATGGGGCTTTACTTCAATTCCCCTCTATTACATCTTCATGGTGTAGTGTTTACCTCCTGGTAAATGTTACTGCCACAGTAAATATTCATCAGCTTGAGCCGTGCATGGACCGGCTCGTGTAATGAATGACGTCATGGCTTCCAGCCATATCTTCCACGCTACCCTTTCTTTCACGATCCTAAGGTCACCCCCTCCTTCTCTCCTGAAGACCATGTGATTTCCCCTTCCCTTCTACCCCTGTGTCTCGGGAGGAAGTAGGTTGGAGAGCGAGGTCGGAGTCTGATAAATGGATCCACTTGGGTAAGCACATCTGACGGTGCAGCCAGGGATATTTTCTAAATTTCAGTTCAGAGGGGTCTTGTTCCAAAATTGCGTTTCGGCATACTCTGGGTCTGGCCACAGACGTTGGGGGCTTACAGTCGCCAGCTGTTGGGGGGATAGCGTGGCGGTACAACACGAGTTAGTTTTTTTAATCAACATATTGTAACATGTACCCTCTCTGAGGGTAACCGGGCCCCAGCCGGCTGCTTGTAGGGTTCCAATAGCGCATATTTGCTTTACCTCTGCCCGCATCTCAACTTTGTGGCAGTGCGCACATTGCTCTTGGCAGGGTCGTCTAGAAAGGGCTTCGGCGTTTTTGTGTTTCCGGCCCTGACAATGCTCTGAAATAAAGTGGTACTCCTGTAGATGCTGTATCCAGCCCGCAGTTTGTCCTTCTAAGTTCTTGAAACTCATAAGCCAGGTAAGCGCAGAGTGGTCCGTTCGCAGATGGAACTGTTGTCCGTAGAGGTACTTGTGGAAATGTTCCAGTGTCCTCACTATGGCAAGTAGTTCTCGACGGGTGACGCAGTAGTTTCTCTCTGCTTTGTTTAGCGTCTTGCTGAAGTAAGCTATGACATGCTCTTGTCCGTCCTGTATTTGAGAGAGTACTCCTCAAATTCCGACATTACTTGCATCTGTGTCCACAGTGAATTTCTCTCCTGGCTGTGGGTAGGCAAGAATAGGGGCAGCACATAGGGCACCCTTTAGTGTTTGAAAAGCGGTCTCCACTTCTGGAGTCCACTGGAAGGTTTGTCTCTCTTCTGTTAGTTTTGTTAGTGGTTTCGCAGTGTTGGAAAACCCTAAAATAAACCGCCTGTAATAAGTGCATAGCACCAGAAAGCTCTTAATTTCACGTTTATCCTTTGGGGTCGGCCATTCTCACACAGCTTTCAACTTTGTCTTGATGCCGCATGTGGCTAGGAAGCAAGTGACTTGTATTCAAATGCCACTGGGCCAGTGAAACTGGGCAGGTTGTTGAGCTGATGCCACAAGGTAGGGTGGAGAAACTCAGCCATGTTTATTCTATCTGTATATATATTTTTGTGTATTTTGTCATAACTTATTTTTTATGTTTATTAAACATTATTGTTATTTTTGGGCCTGTCATTGACTTCAATAATGATTCTCCACTGCGAGCTTGGTTTCCCGTGACGATCTTAGGGAGCATTGTAAATGACGCGAGGGCCAGTGACGACGAACTGCTCCCGACTTCACCGACGCTTGGTGGTGGTAGGGTGAAGACAGGAGTAGTATCAGTTCAAGCTAGTGATTTTGATTCATTATCAGGCTGGTACTTTTTCATTTTTCCTTTGTCACTTGTTTTAAAATGAGGGTGTGAAACTTGGTCTCTGACATTAAGGGAGGAACATAGACTGAGGGTGTTTGAGAGCAGGGTGTTGAGGAGAATATTTAGACCAAAGAGAGATTAAGTCACAGGAGGTTGGAGAAAACTGCATAATGAGGAGCTTCATAACTTGTACTCTTCTCCAAGTATAATTAGAATGATCAAGTCGAGGAGGGTGAGGTGGGCAGGTCATGTAGCACGAATGGGGGAGAAAAGGAATGCGTATAGGATATTGGTGGGAAAGCCAGAAGGAAAGAGACCACAGGGAAGACCAAGGCGTAGGTGGGTGGACAATATTAGAATGGACCTTAGAGAGATAGGATGGGATGGTATGGATTGGATAGATCTGGCTCAGGATAGGGACCAGTGGAGGGCTCTTGTGAACACGGTGATGAACCTTCGGGTTCCATAAAATGCTGGGAAATTCTTGAGTAGCTGCAGAATTGGTGGCTCCTCAAGAAGGGCTAACCTCCATGAGTAAGTAAGTAAGTTTAAAATGAGTACCAGACAGTGATGAAACATGTATTCTTTATTTTTTCAGTTATGGGACTGGTGTAGCAAGTGTTCTTACTGGAATAGCAGCACGAATTACTACTCAAGAACAGTTGACTGAGGTTTGTGTATTTCTTCATTCTTATGTGAAACTAGAAAGCATGCAAGTAGTTACTCTGTTTATCTGTTTGCTGCATGTTAGTGGCACAGTAGGACAAGGCCAGCACAACGCTTAAATGTCACCCCAAGCAAACAAAAATTCATGCCAAGAAGTACTTGGCAATGCCATAACTAGGGTCCTTTGATGCTGACTTCTCACTGTAGAGGCTGGGTTCAGTCCAGGGGTGCTCTGTTCAGAATTTGTGGTGGATGAAGTGAATCTGGGGTAGGTTTCTCTCCAAGCATGTTTTTTTTTGCACCATAAATCATTCTGCCACCAGGGTTTGACACACATTTCAGTACCAAGGTTGCTATAATAAGCCCATTTGTGGCTGCAGTTTGAAGGGAGTGGTACTGCTTTACTCACAAATAATGTACATACACGTATATGAAATATGGGATCAGTTGTGATTAAATAATTTGAAATTGAGAGTCTCATGCCAGTATATATATCAGAATTTTTAAGACAAAGACAAAGAAAGTGGAAGCCAGGATATTTGCTCACGAAGTTATGTTTAAGGAAGCGGCCTCCGTAGTCTAGGGGTAACGTTCCCACCTCATGACTCAAGGTGCGTGGGTTCAAACCCGGTGGAGGTCGTGGAATTTTTAAGGGCAGAAAAATTCAGGGAACAAGGCCTCCGGGAGGGACTTTAAGCCGTGTCCCGTGTCGTAGATTTACGGCATGTAAAAGATCCTCATGTCTCTAGGAGACCTCTGAGCAAAATTAGGCAAAGTTTCCCACCCAAGTAGAGTCCAATTCCTCGGGTAGATGGGGAAGTATCAGGGACCACTGCCAGAGAGGGCCAACCTCGCTGGCAGAACGGGGATGATAGCGAGCACCAGTACTGGAAGGGCATGGCGACAGTAGGAATTAAAGGGGGACGCACAATAGACTAATAACTAGTCGCAGTGCATGGGGAAACCTACTCCCTCCAATAATGATAATAATAATAATAATATGTTTAAGGAGCTCACAGCTATTTTCTAATTACCATAGAGTATTCAGGATATAAGAAATACTTTTAGAAAATAATCTCAATTTTGGGTAATCTCATAAAAGTAAAAAGTAAAGCTATCTCTATACCAGGCCGTGAAGGCCTGTAGGGTTGTGAGACGTTGAGGATCCCATACTATCTAGAAAATTGGCTCAAAGATGGCGGTAAGGTTGTCGGCCTTACGCACCGGCCGTGCTTTACTCCCCAGGAAAATTATTTAATTAATTCCTGGTACTCATTTCTGTTAGAGGCTGAGTAAACCCCAGGGCCTAGTGTGGCTGGAAGGATTAGTAAAATTCCATTTTTATTTAAATTTCAATTTGTACCAGTAATCCAGGGCTGAGGGAGTGCCTGCCTTGCCCCTCTCCCCTTCCAGTCAGCCATGTATAAAGCCACAAGAGGAGAATTCTGAAGGTAACTACACCTGAAAACATTTCATGATAAATATATGTACTTCAGACACTCAAGCAAGTGCCAATTAACATTTCACTCATATACAACTAAACTGATTCAGTTTTATAGTGTGTCAGAATGCCTATTTGGAAATCAACCCCGCTTTCACCTCTTTTTGCCTATAAATTCATATTGAGTGCAGACTGAGAGATTGTTTTATTATCTGTTGAATTGTTAACACATTTTAATAAAATGTTTCTAGACTTTTATTTCCAACCTTGTTCCTAGCAGCAACAAAAAATAAAAAAAGAGCTCTTTGAAATGGAAAATATAGAACCACTCCATCTGTTGTTCCTATACCTGAACTACTATAAAGGACATCAAAGAAGGTATACTGTTCATTGTATGATCATAAAGTGGCAGGAAATTTGTAAAGTTGGTGGTGTCTGGCATCAAAGTTTTACCACATAGGTTCCCTGTCAGAAACCTATGTGGTGAAACTTTGATGCCAGACATCTTCTAACAGAGGACAAAAAAGAGTAAGTGGCATTCAAGAACATTTGATGCATGGAAGTTGCTGTATGCATTTATGAGAAATATTTTCATATTGAAAAATACCTAAAATGCAAGATTTTAATTCCTGAATATCCACGCTTTGTGATAAAGTAAAATTTCTTGTGAAATGAGTCAGGATTTAATTATTATTACACCTCTCATCATACAGATTTCTGTATTTTCCCACTCTTAACAGTTTGAAAACTTCATTGAACACAACGAGCTGGGTGCAGCCACAGAAGCAGCACGAAGGGCTGTGGAATCTGCTAAAGAAAATCTTGCCTGGGTTGAAAAATATGAATCCGAAATTAATTCATGGCTGGTGTCATTGACAACGGTGGAGCCGACGGAACCGCCCACCGCGTCGCCGCCGACTGAAACGCCCACCGCTTCGCCGCCAACGGAACCGCCCACCGCGTCGCCGCCGACTGAAACGCCCACCGCTTCGCCGCCGACGGAACCGCCCACCGAGTCGCCGCCGACTGAACCGCCCACCGCGTCGCCGCCGACGGAACCGCCCACTGCTGCGCCCCCAACACCGACGGAAGCGGCGACGCCATCAACAACGGGGGAGGCAAGTTCTGTATCACTTAGTCCTGTTCTCTGCATTACTTTATTCTGTACCATTCTGTATCAGATTGTAACGGTTTTTAAAGTGAAATGAAATGTGGCTGTATCTCTGTAATACAGTGACCACTGACCTTTATGTTTCATGCTTGCATTATGTCTTGACATAGTTGAACCACTTCAGCAGGCATTTATATTTGCAATAGTGAAATTAAAAGAAATCAGTTTAATTTTATTAAGACATATTTTTGTTTCTCCAAGAAATCAGTTTCAGTTACATGTTGAGTTAAATTGTTTCAAAATTAAAGTTGGGTTAGGTTAGTTTTATTTAAGTTACTTAATTTTTATATTTGTGCTGAGTGTTGGGACCTGTATGAAACGTTAATTTTATGAGATCTTTGTTGGTATGTTCTCAATTACCCATGAAAGATGCAGAAATAATAAAAAATGACGGCAAATCCAAGATAATCTTCAGGTGTGTCATAAGACCATTGTGATTGTTGCATATACATAGCATCCAGTTTGCACGATTATCCTGAAAGTGTGTGTGGAACATGAAATGTTTGTTTTCTTTTATTCTGGAACTTTTGGTTATAAATTATTTCATAACACTTCCAATTTTATGTGAATTTACAGTTATATTCACAGAAACTTTGATCGATAAATTTTAATTAAATGATTAAAGGAAACATCAGTTTTGAAAAGTTCCTTTGCCCATGGAAATTTGTGGTTTGTGGTTTCTCATGTCTGTGAAGATACATAATTTTTAAGTGGGATGTTTTCATCTTTTCATTTCCGGTTTTCTTTTTATATAACACTGTAGTTAGCTGATTTCTTCTCCAAATTGTACAAGGCAAATTATCTCCAAATGAGTCACTACAGATGTAGTTCATACAGCTTTCAGTAAATGGTTGAATCCTCAAGCTGACATAGGCATTGTATAACAAAAGTGGAATTTGAAATAAATCTCATAATATAAATGAAAAATTTAAAGTTGAATATCAATATTTAAAACTACATATAAAGAAATACAGATATCTGCCAAATATCTGTATTGAGTTAGAGAAAGGAAACATATGGCAATTGAGTCCAGTCTGGGGAATACTGTGTTTTATCACTAGTAGGCTGCAGAAATGTAAGAAGCAACCAACATTTTTAGATCTCCCATATGTTTCCCTTCTGTCAGGAAAATATTCTGGCCCACTTACAAGGGCCATTTTTCTCACAGTTTCACTTTTCTCTCTGAAAACAATATTGTGTCCAGGGCAAGAGTAATATTTTCTTAAAATTCAGTTTTCCATCAGTGATGGAAAATGGATTGTGCCTTTTAAAATTTCTGTTTTCCTACCCAAAATTACCATTGGCCTTTATCAGGCTCCATTTCCTTAACCTTTCTCCAGGGTCTCAGCAATCACTTTCTTTGAGACCTACCTTTATAACCGAACCAGTTTCTCAACCCACTCATTTCAGCCCTGATGCTAGAGACAGCATGTTTCTCCAAAACGTTGGTGTTCACTCACAGGAAAACGCAGTGCCACAACTTATAGGACTATAATCTGAAGAGCGTATTGAATTGTAAGAATTGTGGTATACAAATACTTTTCATTACATGAGTTTAAAGTTGAGAACACAAATTTCAAGACTGACGTCTATTATACTACTTAGGTCATACTGAAAGTTATGAGCAACAATTTTTTGTAAAGTAACATGCTTTATTATTGACAAACCAAATACACCACCTCAATCTACAGACCTTTCTTTATTTTTCCACATAATCGCCACTTCTTTGTACATATTTCTCCCAGCGTTCTGGGAGTTTGAAAATTCCCCTTCTGTAAAATTCCATTCCACCCATCCGAAGACACTGATGCGCTGCTTTCTGAATTTAGCGTGCTTATGGAAGTGTGTGCATGGGTGCGAGCAGTGTTCGAAGATGGGTGAAACATTTTAAAGATGGGAACACCAGCATCGAAGATGAGCCTCGGAGCGGTCGTCCTCGAACAACCTCAACTGAACGCAACAAGGAAAGAGTGGATGAGATCATTCAAGATGACAGGCGTGTGACTGTGGACACAATAGCCCGAAAACTTGGTATAGGGCACAGTGCAGTACAGGAGATGATTGAAAGCTTGGGCTATAGGAAAGTTTGTGCTCGTTGGGTCCTGCGGTTATTGACTGAAGAACAGAAAGGTCACATTGGAAGCAATTGCAAAGATGGGGTGGGAAGTTCTTCCACACCCCTCCTATAGCCCTGATCTGGCACCCTCCGACTACCATCTTTTCAGATTTGTGAAGGATCAGCTGCGTGGACGTTTTGAGAAAAGGGAGACAATTCAGAAAGCAGTGCGTCAGTGTCTTTGGATGGCTGGAACAGAATTTTACATAAGGGGAATTTTCAAACTCCCAGAACACTGGGAGAAATGTGTACAAAGAAGTGGCAATTATGTGGAAAAATAAAGAAAGGTTTGTAGATTGAGGTGGTATATTTGGTTTTTCAATAATAAAGCATGTTACTTTACAAAAAATTGTTGCTTGTGACTTTCAGTATGACCCTTGTATAAGCAAAACTGAATCATAACATGCCATGTTTCATATGTGTAAGATAAATAAGGAAACTTTTAATACAATATGAGTATATTCATTTTAATTGGGGCTGTTTTCTTTTGTAATCAATAAGTAAGTATTAGACTGAAACATAAAAAAAAAATAAGACTGACATTAATTTTCCAAACATATCAGTCAAGAAATTTCGATTTTGACCAGTACCAATTCATAAGAAAGCCTGGTTTTGACGGAACTCTTTAAGTGGACTTTTCTATGTATCCCATAAACCCTCTTCACACATTCTATTAAAATTTGATATGGGACACCTACATTAACTTGTATTGCATTACTACCATTTTTAAGCAAGCACAGTATTAATTCTCAACTACTGCTGTACGTAATGTTGTGAACTATATTACGGAGTATACCCTTTCCAGCTGTTTCCCATTCCATATACTAGAGATTTAGTTATCTTATAAAATGAGAAATAAATACAAAATATACTTGTGAGTCAGTAGTTTATTTTATTAGTCTCCAGAATCATTCACAATAATAAGTGTGCTCTAAATTATATATAGAAAAAATCGGTCATGTCTACAGTTATTGTTTATATGACACCACAGAAGAATCTCTCAGACATTGTGCCCCCTCATCCTCAATATCACTAGTAATACATAACAGTAAAATACAAGAGTATGATAATATTGCTGTCTGTGAGACACTAAATAACTGATATGTTTTGTAATATCATATTCTACTTGTTACACAGGGATAAACCTGTTAGCAAAAAATACAGTGAAACCCCCATTTAAGGTTTTCTGAATACCTGTGGGTGTGAACATCAAATTCAGGAAAACTTAAATGGGAATAATTTAATATTGAATTTAATCACATGGGATCACTGAAATTGATTTAGGAAAAACCTTAAATTGAACATTAAATGTGGGTTTCACTATATGCAGATTATTCAGTAAAAGAGCATGTATCATAACACATTACATCATAAAGCAGTATGAGTGTACATTGAGAGAAGGCTGGTGACAATCTCATTTTCTTTTTAATTGGAAAAATATTTGAACTATATGCAGTTTGATACTTCATGGCATGAAGGAGAAATAGATTTGGATAATCTGTGATCTAATTCAGTATTTCATGGCAAAAGAATGCTGAAAGTGTGTGAACTATGAAACTGGTATATCATGGTGGGAAAATTTGGAAAATATGTCAACTATGCAATTTGATATTCCATCGTAACATAAGGGGTATATCACATGGTTACCCCTAAGTTAGTGAATTGTTACTTGATTAGCATGTCCCCATTTCATAGCTTCCGCATATCCACAATCAGCCAGATGAAACAGTAATGCTTTTTACTTCCCGCTACAAGAATGAAGGCTCAATGTATACATGCAGTCCAAGCTGCATGTATCAAAAGTGACAGTCAGATATGGCAGAATTTAAAATTACATGCAAAGCTGAATTTTTTAATTTAAACATTTGATGGTAGTAAGTTTAAAAATATACTGGGTATAACTATAAGGTGGGGACAAACTTTGTGCATAAATTCCACAAAACAAAAGAAGAAAAAATATCTATATCAACACATGTCCGTAAACATTTAATTTGTGAGTTACAGCTGAAAGTGTACATTTATAATAAATGCACACTTCAGCACGTCTCACCATCGACTGCCACATCTGTTCAGAGATGACAGGGTAATTGCGGATAATCTGATAGTCATCCACAATGCGATGGTGAAGTGCCTCTTCATTGTCAACAGGATCTGCATGCACAAGGGGTTTTAGGTGCCCCCACAGGTAAAAATCCAGAGGATTTAAATCTGGTGAGCATGGAGGCCATGCAGTGGCTCCTCCCCTACCTACCCATAAGTCAAGATAGGTTTTATTGAGAACATATCGCACAGCACAGCTAAAAATGTTCCAGAGCACCATCACACATGTAGAGTTTTCTTCTTTCAGCTATATATACATGCTCCAAAAAGGGGTGAAGAGGTGGTATAGCCATAATGTACTGTTATCAAAGGGAAATTAAATCAGCTTTCACCATTACAGTACTGCCTAAAGCATGATGCTTGCAGAAAATAAAATCCCCAATTTCATGACATTCACTACAGGAATAGAGATTGTTCCTGTATTTAAAATAATTATCTTTCAGATCGGTGTATCAGTTATGTGATTTCAGTCATCATGGCTTTGTATTTCATATCAGTTAATAATGTGTAAAATATTTTTCAGGTGATATTTGTTATATCACTGGAACATATACAGACCTGGCATTTCAACAGCCATGTCATGAAGATATATATGTGAGTTCTTTCTAGAGGAATTTTAAAAACAATTATAATGAACACATTAAAGTTGAATCAGCACCTGGCATACATACAGAAAAAACAAACTCCATGGCTTGAGTCTGCAAGCAAACTATACCGACTGAGTGACTGCCGCTTGTCAGCGAAGTTAGGGCATACATACACAATAATCCAAAAGTCAGTAGCAACTAAGCACTATTATTATAGTTGTACACAAAAGACAAAAGTTTAGGTTCAATGATAATTTTAACTTTGCCCTTGTCTATGTCCTCCAGTTTGCATTTTCTGTTTTGAGATCTATAACGGGTCTCCAAACTTTTCAAAACGCGGGCCACAGTAGGTAATTCTGCACTTTCAACGGGCTGGATAAAATGAGAAATTAATAACTCTAGGTATATGAGTTTTATTGAAAGCACGTAATTTCATGAACTAAATACAAAGTACGTGAGAATAAATTAGTATATATTAATGACAACAGACAGTAGCAGCAAATGCTCATATTTTCATCACAAATTATAATAAAACAATTAATGTGAATGATGGAACTCTTTTTGCATTCTTAAAATCTGATTAAATTGAGGTTCAAATTTTGAAACACTAATCACAAATAGCGACTTTAAATGTTCATCAGATAAATTTGCCCTCTATTTCGACTTGATGTACTTCATCTGGGAAAAAGTTTGTTCACACAGATATGTTGTCCCAAAAATGGAGATAAATTTACAAGCAAATTTCTTTAAATTTGGAAATTACTCAGAGTTCAGGAATTTATAAAATTTGATCAAATTTCCTTCCTTGTATTTGTCCTTAATATGATAATTTTCCTGAAGTTCAATAATTTCCATTTGGAATTTGACTTGGGACATCTGCAGCATCACAGTCAAATGGATTTTGAAACAATCTAATTTCCTGAGCACTGGCATCCAAATCAGAATTTCGCTTCCGAAATTGTTCTTTAAAATCGGAAATGACAAAATTTGCAAACGAGGAAGGAAATTAAGCTTCACCCTTTTTATGCAACTCTGCACAGTATAGCATATGAACAAAGTTACAATTTTTCACTTGGCTTTCCAGAAGTATCAGCTTTGCTCTGAATGCCTTGATAAGTGCAAATAAATCACAGACTAAGTTATTTTCACCCTGAACTTTAAATTCAAATCGCATATCTCGAGAAAAGACCGAAACTGGCGATAGTTAAGTGCATGACAGCGAATGAAATTAACGATAGAAATAACCGGTTTTAAAACAGAGCTCATATCAACGTGTTTTCCACAAAGTGCTTGTTGGTGGATAACACAGTGAAGAAACATTGGCCGATCAAGGCCAAACAAGTACGAAGAAATCCCGCGCAGTATATGGTCCAGAATTAGTAAAATTGTGAATAATATTAATATTAACATAATATGGAATATCAATATATTTTAAACACAATCTTAATGAATTTTAAATCTATGAACAAGTATTTTTTTTACCAATACTCATTGGAAAATTAGTTCAATTGGCGCATTTCTGCACAATTCTTTCGCAGGCTAGATGTGACCCGCAGGCCGTAGTTTGGAGACCCTTGATCTATAACATGGCAATATTTACATTCTAAAGGGGTAATGTTTCTAAAATTGCTAGTGCGCAAATTACCTGTCTGTACTTTCAGTACCTACTTGAAGTAACTGAGGCATGCAGTAGCATAATTGGTTGAAGCACTATGCTACAAGCTGGAAGGTTGTGAGTTTGAGTCCCGATGAGGTAGATTTTTTTCCAATTTACCTAATCCTTCCAGCCCCACTATGGCCCTGGGGTCGACTCAGACTCTAATAGAAATGAGTACCAGGAATCTTCCTGGCAGCCTGCGTGTAAGGCTGACAACCTTACCGCCATCTGTCAGCCAACTGTCTCACAACCCTATGGGCCTTCACAGCCTCTTACAGGGATACGTTTATTTTTTTGTTTTATTTAAGTAACCACTGGATGAAACATTGAAGCAAAGTTTTGTGGATTTTAATTAAATATATTTGAATGTGTAATTTAAGTATTTTCTTAAGTTCTTAGATTGTTCCTTGATTTCTCCAAAATCTCTTTGCGTATGCGAGGATAATCAGGCTGTATTTTCAGTACCTGCTGACATACATCAATGGCATCAGCATATCTCTTGCCTTTCATGTAATTAAATGCAAGCTTGTACCCAATTGTAGGGTTTGCCTTACCTCCATATTTCCAGGCATATTCATACTGGTTTGCAGCATCTCTGTATGCTTGATCTTTTTCGGCTATATAACCTGCATACTCGTATGCTTTAGTGCATGCCTTGTTATGCTGCAATACACGACGGAGCAGTTCACTTGCCATATCATACTTGTTGTTCTGAATGTATATGTCTGCTAACAGCAACCAACAGCGTTCTAAATATTCTGCATCCTCAAAGTTCCACACATTCTTTGCAACTCTCTTCAACTGATTCCTTGCTCGTGGTGTTTGTTTGAGCAACATGTAAGCTGTTGCTAAGCCAAGAGCAGTACCAACATGATCCCTGTAAGCATCCTGACTAGCAAGAGATGCAAAATCCTGCAATGCCTGCTCAACATTTGGTTTCTTACGGGTCGCCAAAAGCAAGAAGTTACCAAGAAGACGATGATTTAAAACTTCATCTCCACCAATACCACCTGGACGAGGCTGAAGTTCTTTCAGAAGCCGTTCAGCCATCCTTAAAGCCATTTCACGGGAACTTCGGAATTCTTCATCCTCTCTTTCCATTGACTCACTTCCTAACGTTTCATCATCAGGATTAAGGCAGATCTCAATCATATTATAAACTGCTTGTTGACCCCATTCAGGGTCACGTCGTGCTCCATTAAAGTGACGGAGAGCAGAATTTGCATTTCCAGAATACCATTCATAAAGGCCTCGGCAGTAAGCGAGACCAGCCTCTTGATTAGCACGCTGACAAGCAGCCTCTGCTTTGTCCAGATAGAATGGTACCTCTTCCAAATTCCCAGTCCTGCGCATCACTTCAACTAACCTTGCAAGAGCAGTCCAATAATCAGGACGTCTTTGAAGCAACTGCTGGAAATGGAAAGCAGCTGTCTCAAAGTCCACTTTCCTAAAAGCCAGATCAGCCATCATCACAGTAGCTGCCTCATTGTTGCTGTCTGCCTTGAGCAAAGTCATGCAGCTGTTCTGACATTGCTCCAAATCATTTACCTGCATATACAGTCTGGCCAAGGCAACCAATGTGTTCGTATCTTCTGGTGAGTAAGCAAGAGCCTCCTTATAGAAGCGAATGGCAGCGTCATGGTCTCTCAACATACTGGCATATTCTGCCATTTGCTGACAGATGTTTGCAGCCACTTGACGTTCCTCGATACTCCCACCAGAATGTTCAATCATTGTTCTTTTCAGCACACGACTCTGATTTTCACGAGCATCTTTCAGTGTTGTAAGAGATGCCTGAATATTTCCAGCTTTCTCACGCACCTTTGCCAACAATAAGAGCAGCTTGGTTCTGGCAGTCAGCGCTAACATGTCACTGCTGTCAACTTTACTTTCCAGCTCCTGGGTAAGGGCTTTCTCAGCCTTATCGTTTTGTCTCAACTTCATGTATAGTTCTGCCATGTCAAGTTTCAATTGGCCAGCACCTTCCCCTTTCACTGCTTCCTTATAATAGTTAATAGCTTTACCATACTGATGAGTTTTTACAAGAGCCCTTCCCATCTTGCAAGCAAGAGCTGCATCACGAGGGTTGCGTTTCAGAGCCTGTTCATAAGCCTCAATAGCTCTGTCTGGTTCCTGAATGGACATATATGCATCACCAAGCATCACAAAACTCTGAGGACCAGGTGAATTCTCTACCAGTTCACGGAAACATTCAGCAAATGCACGCCGATCTCTGTGCTGATTGAGGTGAATATCAGCCATCTTACAGTGTGCTTGCTGGTAATATGTTTGGCCTGGTCCTATGCTCTGAAGAAGTTCTAAGGCTAATTTTGTATCTCCCCTGTACAACGCTAGATTGGCATTAGCAATAATTACACGACCTTCTTCAGTAGTGCCCTGAAATTCATCAATGGCATCCTGCATGAACTTTGCAGCCTCATGCAATTGTTCAGCTGATTTATATGCCTCTACCAGTTCGAGGTACAGAGATGCCTTATCAGGCAAGGAGAGTTCAGGTGACCCACCTCCAGTCCGAACCCGACTTCCACTTCCTGGTTTCAAACCACTAAGAGACATGGCTGTCTGCAGAGTCTGTATGCATTCCTTAATATTTCCTTGCTGTTTCTGTACCAGTGCCATGATGAGGTGGTATAAGGGATATTCACGGACTTTGAAATTGTAACTAAGCCCTGCTTCTAGGTTATGTGCTGCCCGCTGGTAGTGGCCTTGTTGAACTAGAATTTGTGCCATAAGCAGATGTGCATCAGCACGAGTTGCATCTACATCATCCAAGATGTGCTGTAAAGTCACAGAGGCAGCTTTAGTGTCTCCACTCAGGAACTGAACATATGCAAGTTGGTACAGTGCTTCTGGGTGACCTGGACAAGCCTTGCTCACTGCTTCCAGAATTGTCAAGCTCTGCTTCACAGTCACTGGTAATGGCTGACCTTGTTGCAGTGGTGCTGCACCACCAGCAGCAACAGTTGAAGATGAAACTGGGGCATATATCAGATATTCTTTCACAACCTGAAGCAAAAAATCTGGATCAAGAGTCCTCAAGTATTTAAATCCATACGGTAAAGTGCGCAAGGTCCTGAAATGAGTTTCAACAGCCTCGTTCAGATATCCAACAGCTTTTTCAGCATCATGAGAAATAAGCCTTGCTGACATGAGTAATAATCTGGGGGTTGACTGAGCACCCTCTACTTCTCGAAGGAACTCCACCTGTTGGCGCACCTGATCATTAGCTCCACTCTCACTCAACTGGCATAATGTCAACCCCATTAATGCTGATACAGATGAATCGTCCACTTTGGTGGCACTACGATACAGTCTTACAGCCTCTTTGATCTTGCCCTGCAATAAACACTGATAACCCAACTCTGTCATAAAGTCGGCGCTGGATGGATCCAGTTGAGCGGCTCTCTCAGCGAAGCGGTATGTCTCAGCCAGAATAGCCTCATTTCGTCCACACACCCTTGAAAATAGCTGAGCATTTTCCACAAATAAATCAGCATTCTTAGGTTCAGATTTCTCCATCTCACTGTAGAAACGTCGCAAGCTCAGACTTGCCTCTTCATAATTTCCTTCTCGGCAAGTAAGTATAAGAACCTTTAATTTCAGAGCCTCCAAGCAGTGGGGCTCTGCTGCTAGAATTCTGTTTGCTGTCTCAATAGCCTGATCCCAGTCCAGTAATGCAAGCTGGTTTTTCATTTTTTCCACCAAAGGCGGAGAAAATGCAGGAAACCTCACTACCAGTTGGTTAAGAAGACCAATTGCACCTTCAAAGTCATTCTGAAGCTCCTGAAAACGAACTTTACCAAACATAGCATCAATATTTCTCTTGCCTGGACTGAGTTCCAAGGCTGACTGAAAGTACTGAAGAATATCTTTGACCTTGCCTTCCTTCCCAGCATACATTTCAATCCATCCCTTAATTACAAGTCCATCTGGAGAATTGGAATTAGATTTGAGAAGCCTATCAGCATACTCACGAGCTTTCTCTGGTTTACCTGTATGGAAAAGAACTACTGCACCATGATACAGTCCCATCTCACCAGCACGCTTGCGTTCTTCTTTAAGTCGTGAATCCAGCTGAGCAAGCGCTTCCCTGTCCACAACACTGCAATGTCGGTGTGCAAATATTAGTGCCAGTATACTGCCCAGCATAACATCCTGGTCAGTCTGAAGTGGTTCCAATTCTCGAATTCCTTCCTGTATACGACGTCCCAGTACCAGTGATAATCCATTGTACAGGCGAAATGTGACGTCACCTGGATACTTGCGTAGGCCATCAAGAGCAGCAGTTTGCATTGCATGATACAGCTTTTCTCGACAGTAATAGTGGACCTTGGCTTTCAAGTCTTTCTCCTCCATATTCGCAGGTAAATTACATATCTCTTGACTTGACACTAATTTCATGTACTCCAAATCAGTGAATTAAACCTGTAAAGAAGATGTTTTATCGGATTATTTAAAGTGAGATCTAAGGACTTAATGAATTAAATGAGTATCAGGTGCAACTGTGCACCAATTGCTCCACAATCACCCTCAACTATCATCTGGGGCTGGTACAATAGGCCAGAAGTGGCCGCAGTACAAGGGACTTAGTCCCACCCCACTAGCACTAAAAAAATATTCAGAGCTGCGCATATCATAGGAAAGTAAACTTTGAGCATCTGCTTGCAGTTAACATATTTCAAGAGTAATTTTATAAAGTAGACTCAACGAGATGAATATAGTACTCATAGTATCTGAGTAACGTCAATCTCAAGATTGAATTTCTAAACAAGGAACACAGAACACATTCATCTGTTTCAACAGTTCAGCACTGAACAATGAAACTGTACAATCTGAACTGAAAGTAGAGAACCCCATATATAGTTTTCATATGTAGAAGGCCAATTATGAAGCTGCGGTCAAACTGACAGATACAACAATTATTACACTGATACTGCAACTGTATACTATAAAATATGACATTATTATGAATATCTGGAGCAGCATTTTATGCATCTCTACCCACAGAAGTAAAGAGAAAATCTTAATTATGATCAGATATGTAGAGTAACACACAAAGCAGATCTCAGTAATCCTTATTTAACAGTTCAGTGTTTCAGACTGTATACATAAGAGAAAGTTATTATCTATCCCAGATTTATGCCCTGGTGTACAATAATTTTCCTTGAAATAATTCGTATAGGATTCTCATAAAAGCAAGATCAAGTGCATAACAGTGTGGCATGTAGACCCACTGCTAGGCAACGACCACAAAATAAGCCGCCATAGAAGCGCCACTGCTAGATAATGACTCTGTAAACAACAGCCTTTTCTAGGTAATGGCCACAACAGACATGCACACAACAATGGAAGAACTGCTGGGGGCTTAAACTTGGCAGTGGTCAAACTTATGACCATTCAAGTGACTAAGTTGCCGTTGTAGAATAAGATATGTAAGATGGGCACGATCTGCTTTGCAAAGCCTGTACTGACAAGAGGACTTGTATATAGTGCAAAAGTAAGAATTTTCAGTTACATGCTGTATGTGCAATAGATACACTTGATGAAAGTCCAAGCATATTCATATTAGATAAACCCATCTTTTCATCAGAGAGGAGCTTACAAAAGGACTATTAATGCAAGGGCTCAGATGGGGCTTAACATAAAGACAAACTGGCTGGCTGATCATTGGTTGTAACATGACTTTGACTGACTTAAAGGGAAGTCTTGGGTCTTGAGACAGCAGTTAAGAGTAGGAGGTTGGTGTGAGATAGCCGCCATTCAGCGAGGCCGTGATCGGAAGCAGAAGCCATTGTTGGGAACCATTACCATGAAACAACTGGTGATGACACGGCAAACTGAGAAGTCTTCATGTGTGCTGTAGTTACAGTGACCATTGGAGTGTGTAAGTCAGTGAGACTGTCGTAGTTATTTGTAGTTACGTTCTGTAAGTGTTCAATAAATCTGATTACCAATCCAAGCCCCGTCTACAGTCACTCACATACATGACAGCAATGAAATACAAGATTAAAATGTAGCATACATGTGTTTACTCAACAATTCGGCTTGTGTACTCTGGTGAGGCGTGTTCTTCAAGGTACTTCTGTAAGTAGGTGCACGTAACTTTCATTTTTAGATCATTTTTCACAGCATAGTCAAATGCAGCCTGCAAGCCAGCAATACAAAACAGATCCATTGTAGTTATATACACAGTAAGGAAAAATATCCATGCAGTTATTCTATTCTTATTTGACTTCCTATAGTAAGTTAATTTTGTGATGATTTAGCATAAGCCAGAACAGCTTTTAGTAAGGATTTTTCACTTCCCCACCATGTTAGACTGTCTTTAGAATCCACTCACCCTCTATTCAGTGGGTACCAGATACTCTTTTCCCAATAGTAAAACAGTTGAAGCATAATCCAACCATTTATCTCCACTCAGCAGGAAGGTATGAGTGTATGAGTCTTTACCTTGACTCCATCCATATTGCCTTAACATGAATAACTCTACCTTTGCCCTTATGTCAACGCCTGAATTCATGCAATGTCAGATGAGAAATGGTAGGACAATTATGGTTAACAAGTTTAGAACAATACTGAAGAAAGTGATCGCTGCCTACTGCAAGGTTCTTTCTGCTTCTGTGTATACCACAATGATTTATCAATCCCAGATGTTATGAAGTGTCAAATGAGAAGTGATGATGGTTGTGAGTGTGAACCAAGGGTTGTGAATGAAGTGACCACACCTTGTTCTGAAAGTCTACCCTGAAATTCAACTGGAAATAAAACCATAAATTAAGGGCAGATAGTATTCTGGCCAAAACTCAGGCCAGATACCTCCAAAGTAATATATAACTGGTGCACACCCACTGAAACCTATTTAGTGGGGACATGAAACTGCCTGTAATACTATCCCTTTTTTATGTTTGTCTTTGTAGTACACGACTAAGGTACTACTTGACTGGAAATATTTATTATAAAGTAAGACAAAAATAAATGTATCTCACACGTGGGCTGGTTCTCAATGAAGTAATGCAATTTCAAATGAATGTTCTTGAATTCATATGCACTGATTCACAAAGCTACTGCAAAAGTTAAAAGCTGAATGATGATGTTCTTGTTTATTCTCTATAGATTATGATAATTCTATGCAATCAGAAACAATGACTGCAGTCAGTGACACTTCTGCAGATTCCGCTGCTCTGCATCTTCATGCTATGTGAACAGTGTAAGAATCTATTCTGTCATCAGCATCTTATCATTTTACACAGTCCAGTAACAACCCCACAATAAGTGAGGTCATCCTAAAAGTAAAAAAGTAAAGACCCTGTGCTTAACTAATTAAATACTATGCCATGAAGGTGTATGAGGGACTGAACGTATAGATCTACTTTTTCTCGACCTTGGCACTAGTTGGAAGTATATTTAAAACTGTTAATCTACAATTTATAGGGATTCTAAAATATATAATCAGTGTTTTCTTCTGCCAGTACACACACCAGCAAACTTCTCAAAAAGTTGCACAACTGACAGTACATTGTATGTTTCAACCCTGAGATTTAAACAGAGTGTGAATACTGGTAAGGATGGCTCTAAATATATTTACTCACACATAATAGCTGAATAATATACCAAGAGGTACAGACCTAAGACCCTGACCAAGAACAATGCAGTATCATTTTCCCAGTCTTAAAACAAATTCTGGTAATGCCTTAAAATAAGCCTGTACTATTTTCTTTCCCATTGCCTAATTCACTATTCATGCTCATTTTAACAAAATTTAATCTGCATAAAATTAACAGTGAGTGTTGTAAAATGACCCCAAAGTCATGCATTTATGAAATAATTTACCTTTGCCAAGATCTTAGCTATACCCTTCCCCCGGATAGCTGGTGGTACTTGAGTTTCATAATAATCTAAAATACTGTTATATTTATCATACTGAATGAAAGCAACATCTGAAACAAAAATATTTTATTTAAAACTACTTTATTAAACATTCACCCTACAAATAACATATCAGTTCACATATGTGCATTATTTTCTTCCAAACCATTTGAAAATGCACACAGTAAAATTAAAATTCATAACATTTAATACATCACACCATACACATTTCTTGAATCCACTTACAACGTTATAAGGGATGCTAAAAGAAAGCATTATAATAAACAGGTATTAAATTCCAGTAATAAAATAAGAACTGGCTGGGACATGACAAAACTATTAACTGGGAAGTTAACCAAAGCAGACACAATTCAAGAATTAAAAGTTAATGGAGAGGTTATTTGTAATAGACAAGATATAGCAGATTCCTTGAATAGTTCCTTCTTATCTGTGGTTGAAAATAATATAAATAAAAATTTTAAAATGAATAATAAACCATTAGATTACTTGCGATAAGCTTTTAATCATCCTTTTCCTAGTATAAAATACCATGCTGTAATGTCTACTGAGATATCTAAAATTATTAAATCTCTAATAACAGAAGGATCTCATGGCTATGACAAAATATCAGTTAAAGTTCTAAAAATTAGTTCTCCATTTATTATTTCCCCAGTAACTTATATTAGCAATAAAATGCTATCTTCTGGTATTTTTCTCGCTAGGCTAAAATATGCTGAGATTAAGCCTTTGTTTAAGAGTGCTCATAAAAATGATCCTACTACCTATAGGCCTATTTCCCTTAACTTCCTTTTCAAAAATCTTCGAGAGTATTATATTATCCAGACTGAATCAGCATGTCTATGACCATAATAATATAATTAATGAACAGTTTTGTTTCAGACCTCAATCTTCAACTACTAAAGCTTCCTATGTATTAATTAATGAAATATTAGAAGCATTAAATAAGCAAAAAATCGTAGGTGGTATTTTCTGTGACTTAATAAAGGCTTTTGATAGTGTTAATTGTGGGATTTTATTGAACAAACTTCAATTTTATGGAATAGATGGTAAATTTCATGATTTAATTACATCCTATTTATCTGACAGAAATCAGAGAGTTTTAATAAAAAGCACAAATTTGAGTTATGTTGGTACCTCCAGTTGGGATATTGTAAGTCATGGTGTCCCACAGGGATCCATTCTTGGTCCACTTCTTTTTCTCTTTTATATAAATGATCTACCTAAAATTTTTAATAACTGAGTCAAATCAGTTTTATTTGCAGATGATACAAGTTTAGTTATTAGTAGTTATAATAATATACAATACACAAATTATGTTGATATTTCCTTTGCTTATCTTAATGACTGGTTTAATTCAAACTTATTAACTCTAAATTTTAACAAAACTAAACATGTTTAATTTATGACAAAGCCAAGTTCTAATAGTGTAACTTTTGTTAATTAGCCCTCTATATAAGAAGGGAAATAGAGAAGTTGTTCTAATCTCCTTGTTGACATCATTTTCCAAGGTGTTCAAAAAAATTATCTTTAGAAGATTATTAACACATATGTGTGCTAATGATATCTTGGCTAGTGAACAATTTGGATTTCGTCCCAGCCTTTCCACTGAAACTGCTTCATATACTCTATTAAATAATATATTAACAGCCATCAATAATAAAAACAATAATAAAAATAAAGTAGGCGGAATTTTTTTTTTTATTGGAGAAAGCTTTCGATTGTGTAAACCATGAAGTGCTTCTATATAAACTT